GGATCCCGCGCGCTCAGCCCCGCGGAGGCTGCAGACTTGGCGGCGCCGTCCCGCGCGCGCGGGCAGGTGGCTCGAGATGCCCGGGGGAGCCCCAGGCTGCCCCGCCTTTCTCTCCCTTCACTCCAGGGCTCGTGAGGGGGACCCTGAAGGAGGCGAGGATGGGCGGGGGGCCTTTCTCGGGGGGCGGGGGGCACCAGCCAGCCGCCTCGTGACACAGACAACGTGGGTGAAGGACTTGAGTGACTCGGGATTAATTTTATTTTAATCCTCACCTGAGGATGTTCTTATTGATTTTTAGAGAGAGAGGAAGGGGAAGAGAGAGAAGTAAGGAGGTGAGAGAGAGGAACATCGATCGGTTGCCTCCCGCACACACCCCGACCGGGAATTGAACCGGCAGCCCAGGCCTGTGCCCTGCTGGGGAATGGAACCTGCGACCTTTTGGTGCACGGGGACGACGCTCCAACCCACTGGGCCACCCAGCCAAGGCTGCAGTCACCTCAGGGCACGCGCTTTGCTGTTTGGGTCACAGGTGACACCACTTGGGAATGAGACCGCAGATCACGGAGTGACCAGCACATCTCTGTGCCGAGCACACTGGGCTCGCATTCTGTGTCCTCGCCCGTCCACCCGTCCGTCCAATCCTGGGACTGCGTGTGGCCTTGAGGAAGACAGTGGCAGGTTCCGCCGGGAGGGGAGGGTTCCTTCTCCCCGGAGCCTCAGAGCCCGCAGTGCCCGCAGGACGAGGAGGAGACAGGCCCCGGGTCAGGCTGGAGGGGCGGGTGGAACTCACAGGCAGATCCATGCGGAGGGGCCACCCCCGGGTGAGCAGGGGCGGGTCAGAGGGCGGTGGCCGAGCGGGAGCGGCCGGGGCTTGCGCCAGACGCTAACCATCCGCGGTCAAGGGGCCCCGGCAGCGCTGCTGGCAAACGACGGCCACAGGTGCGCGGACACCTGCGTCTGCCCTTCAAAAGGTGGGCCCGAGAGGGTCCGGGTCGGCGCTGAAATTATTGCTGACAGTTGTCCAGACAACAGAACGGCCGCCTGCAGCTCAGCCACAATCCATCCCCCCCAGGGGGGCTGCCTGGAGGCCAAGGCTGTTCTGTCTTGGAGTTATGTTCTTGAAACTACTCAATTCTGTGGGGAAAAAACAACCTACTTTAAAATGAAGTGACTCATCTTCGGCTTCCTCCCTCCGCCCGCGCACAAGGTACGATCGATCGATCGCTAGGGCAACCAGCCCGGGTGAGAGGCACCTGGCCCAGGAGTGTCCGAGTTCTTCCTCAGAAAAAACTTCTGGTTTCGTTTGGGTGGGATCTCTTCCTAAAGACGCTCCCCTTCTCAAGGCAGGCGGGTCCGAGCCTTCCCCTGCCACGCAGACCCCCCCAACGCTTCCCCTCCGGCCATCAGCACCCGAGGGCCAGGGGTTGCTGCTGCCCAGGGCCGGGGACCCCTGGGCGGCAGCCTGGCTGGATCCTGCGGCCCGGGCCCCACGCGAGACCGACCTGCTCCCTGCAGCCCCCGCAAACCCCCCTCCCCGCGCTTCCTGGTGATGCTGATAAAGATCCTCCCGGAAGCAGGGGGCTGGAGGCTCCTTTCTGCGGGGAATAAAATTTCATCCTTAAAACCAAAAAAGGAAAAAGCAAACATAGGCTAATATCTCACATTACAGATAAATGGTCATCTCAGGGGGATTAAAGAGTTAAAGTAGGCTAAAAATCAACACCAAAAAATATTAGAATACAAGGCTGAGTTTATCATGACTTGAGAAAAGTCTTCCTAAGCTCAGAGAAAATGCTCCATTTTACCACACAAACATTTTAAAATTCTGCATATCAATAAAGCCCATAAATGACATTTAAAGGCAAATACAGAGAAAAACATTTGCAAGAACTGAGAAAAAGAGTTAGTGTTCTTGAGGTTCAGTCACTAAGGAAACGCCCGAGACTCCACAGGGAAGCAGGCAATTTATACAAAAAACCAAGCCACAAAAGTGTGAACAAAATGCCTAATAAATACATGAAAATTGTTCCACCTTACAGGGAAGTACAGGGATGCATTTTTATTTTTATTTCCCAGCACTCACAGTACTGTGTAAAAACGAGTAAGGAACGCTCGATTCCAGCGTGTGTCCCAGGGCGCGGACTAGGTCAGTCCAGAATTCCCAGGCAGCAGGCCTGGGAACTTCAAAATGCGCGCGCAGTCCGAGGAGAGAGCTCCACCTCTTCCGACTCTGATCTCGGCAAATGAACCCGTCTCAGGCGACTGTCTGTGGTCCAGGAGCTGGGAGCTGAGACGCTGCCCGATTTCTGAGCTATCCGTACAATCTGACCAAGGACATGGATGAATTTTTAATGATGAAAGATAATGCTTAGGAGGTTACATTTTTTAATTTTTAAAAAATATTTTACTTTTAGACAAGAGGGAAAGGAGGAAGAGAGGGAGAGAAACATCCCTGTGTGGTTGCCTCTCACGCGCCCCCTGCTGGGGACCTGGCCTGCAACCCAGGCCTGTGCCCTGACTGGGAATCGAACCGGTGACCCTTCGGTTCGCAGGCCGGTGCTCAGTCCACTGAGCCGCATCAGCCAGGACTGGTTACATTTTTTTAAAAAAAACACATTGTATATAGAATCCTCTGTTCATGAAAGTGCATTAAAAAACTAAAAACAAATACAGGAGAAGTGAGGCTGGTTCTTCCTGGGGGCACCATCCGTTCATTCTCCTAATGCCCTGTCTCTCTTTCAGCTGATATGTGGGTGCCGTCTGCTGACCCGGCAGGGTCTCGGGGCGCGGGGAGCACAAAGGGGGCTGGACAGAGCGCCCGCCCGGGGAGGGAGACAGGCGGTGGCCTCCAGGGCTGCCAACGGTTTGGCAAATGCAGAAAATAAAAAATTTCAAGAAAGTAATGGTATTAAAAAAAAAAAAACACGCCATGACCACGTCGGTGCAAATAATCTAAATAGTTAAATTGCAGTTTTAAAATTAGATGTAAATGGAAAGAATTCTCAATAATGAATGACATTAGATTGCGAGCACGTGGAGTGACGGTAACGACCCTTTAAAACAGCAGCCGGCCGCTCCCGGCCACCGGGCTGGCGAGGAGCGCGCCCTCTGCCGGCGGGTCGAGCCGGGACGCGAACAGGGGCCGGCTGCGCCTGCAGCCTGATGCACGTGGGCTGCGGGCTCCGTGCCGACAGGAGCCGCCGCCGCCCCTCACCCCGCAGCCCGCGAGGGAGGTGCTGGCTCAGCCCCGCTTCAGGGACCGAGAAACCGAGGCTCAGAGGGGGCGGGCAACTGGCCCTCGGGCCCAGCCCCTGCGCTCCAGGGTGAGCCGCCTGCCCGGGGAGCGGGTGAGTGTAGGGGGGGCGAGAACACGGCTCCACCCGCGCACCAGGCGCCGGGTCCCAGGGCTTCGCTTTCGGGTAAGGACGCTTGACCTGGGCCCCACCCGTCTCCGCAGCCCCTGCCCAGGGAAGAGGAGCTCAGGGGTGCCCGCCCCTCGGCCAGGCGAGGCCTCACTGTGGCATGGGACAAAGGCCTTGGTCAGAGGGCCCATTTCTCACGACTGCTCCCGCGTCTCTGGGCGTTTCTGGGGGCACAAGACGACAGCGCGTCTACTCCTAGGAAGGGACTGAGGCGCACTCAGCCCGCCCAGCCCAACGAGCGCCTCCTGGCGAGAGCGATGGGGCCGGCGCCGGCTGGTCCTGCCCTCCGGCCACCCAGTCGGGGGCCCCGGGCCGTGGCTTCCCAGGCTTAGCCTGCAGGCCCTTCGGGCCTTGTGGACACCCAGCGGAAATCTCACGCTTTCCTAGTGTCTGAGTGGAGCAGAACGAAGCCAGCTGTTTTCACAAGGGCGACTTGTAAAATGCCTAAGTGAGCTTTTCAAATAAACAACAGGAAAATGCTTCAGACAGTGGAGTTCGGTCACGACAGTTTGGCCCTGACTGCGACTTCAGGTGTGACCACGAGCCAATCACCAAAGCCCGACTCGGTTCACTGAGCCGCAGCCGGGACGTCCCCATTGGACGCTCGGCTCGGCTGCCCCGCCCCCAGACCATCAGCTTGCAGACCCAGGCGGGGTGTGTGTGGGTGAAGTCATCACCCCGAAGCGCCTGCTTCCGGGGACGCCATATGACACCGAGTTCCCAAGAAACACTCTTTGTGAAAGAAACGGCAAGGCCTCGAGCCGGCCTGGCCTGCCCGTCAGGGACACTGTCAGAGCCTGCCGGCCACAGGGTGTCCGGCCTCAGGGCCCAGAGGGTCCGCCAAGCCCCGGGGGCTGCCCCCCGACTGGGGTCCGGCGCCCGTGGCCCGAAGGGCTGTGTCCAGTCGGGTTCCTGCACAGATCTTGCCTGCTCGGCCCTCCTGGCTCCTCCCACAGGGAGGCGCTACGACCGGCTGCCCCGTGTGCCTGTCTGCCCTGCCGAGTTTTCGGCGGGACGGTCTGCTGGGCCCAAGCGCCGGCAGGACAAGGCGTCGTTCACACGTTCGCGGCCCCTGTTCCAGAGTCAACAGGTGCAGGAGAGAGGCGCACCAGCTCCAGCCCCCGCCCGACGGAGTGCCTCCCAGGCCCAGGCCCCGCGGCCGGTGCTGGGGCGCAGGGGCCAGCAGTCAGGGAAACCCTCTGCTCCAGGTGAGTCCCATCTGTGCATCACGTCACGTCACGCAAAACTAAGAGAACCATTCATGAAAACACACTTTCACGGTGGGCTGTTTAAAGTCTAGTAATAAACAGGAGAACAGTTCAAGGCTGCTCTAAAAGTAAGTGGAAGCTTTCTCAGAAAAGAACATCCTGGACAAAAATGTATTTCTTTGAAGTTCAGGATTTACCGAAAATGTTTCCATTCAAAAACAGTGATTTATCTCCTGGGAATATTGACATGACACTGTGTAAAATGAATTATGTACACAACATATATTCTATGTACACAATATACATGTACAGGGCGTGGCAGGCCCTGTCGGTGACAATGTCCCTCGCAGTGGGGTCCCTGGACGCCCTCCTAAAGAGCCTCCCGCAGAAGCAGCTGCAGCCTCCTCTGCTCGTCCGCCACCGGGGCCGCCCACTCACTCTTCGCGTACTGGACGTCCACGCGGCCGGAGGCTCTGGCCAGCACCAGGGCCAGGAAGCCACCGCTGGCTTTCTCAGGCTCGCCCACGACGGTCAAGGTCACCAGCCTGCAAGCAAGAAGTACAGGCCGTGGGCCAGGGGGCAGGGGGCAGGGGGCCAGAAGGGAAGGTCTGAAAACTTCAAAGTGAAAGGCGAGAACAGAAGTAAACACATACGAGCCCATAGGTATTTCTGAGTTAGAGGCCTGCCGGACTGACCGCTGTGGCCGTCCCTGGTAGGACAAAGGACGAGCTTCCCAGGCAGGGCGACGCACACATCTGGGTCCGCAGGCCAGCCCCGCGCCCTCGTGCCAGACCCACCCGGCGAGGACCCCGCCGCGTCTCGGTGGCCGGATCCGCCTGTGTGCCTCCACGGTCCCAGCTCCCCTCTCAGGCCCTGGGGACCCACAGCCTCATTTGGGGGAGAGACAGGTGAGAATTCAGCCCTTGTGAGACCACAAACCAGCAAATCTTGAAAAACTACAAGTTGTGAGAATTTTCCCCCCACTGAGCCCTGGGATACTGCTGTTTGGCTACAGTGTAAATGCAGGTACAGCCCAGTCGCCACAGGCTGGGGACTCCGCTGAAGATGGCGGATGGGGGCGGGGGGGCAGGACCCGTGCGTGGGGGGCGAGGAGGACACAGCTCACTGCTGGACCCCGCAGCTTTAAAAATCGCTGAGACCGGTGCAGACAGGCCGGCCAGGACTGTCTCGGCCAGCGCGAGGCGTGCCGCGCGCAGCGGACAGACCGCCACGCCCGTGGGCTGTGTGTGAGCTCTCTACCCGTGGACTGCTCTGGACGAAACCGAAATGCACATACTTTACTACCTAAATTTATAAATATAAGAATACACTCAAATTTATGTGTAAGTAGCGGCATTTTTTAAAGCAGTAGGAAGACGCTGTGCGCCAGGGGAAAGCCCCCGCGACGCGTCTGCAGGCGGGACGGGGCGGGGCCGCGGGCCGCGTCGGACTCACCGGTCTGGGGCGACGGGGTGCTTGGCCACAGGGCCCAGGTCGCTTTGCAGGAGGTCCCAGACGTAAAGGCAGGAAGCGTCGTCCCAGACGAAGAACACCGCGGGCCGGGTGGGGGACCACCGCAGGCCGGCGACGGCGCGGCCCTCCGTGCCGCGGTCCCACTGCAGGAGCGGCCACTCAGAGGCCAGCTGGTGCAGCCGGACGCTCCCGTCCCCGCAGCCGGCCTGGGTGCGGGCATGGACACTGCGTCACGTCCTTGTTCTTTTTTACCCAACCCCAGCGGCCAGGGACGTTTTTCAGAGCACTGGCTTTTTTTTAGCTTGTACAGCAAAAAGTAATTGGGTGTAGCTTTTGTTTCCGACACACGAAATTCCACCATTTAATCTGCCCTGGCAAACCACAGAGATCCTGTCCCCGTCCCCAAAGGGTGGATGCAGGGGGAGAGGTGCTTGTTTTTAGCGAAGTGGACTCTCGCCGAGCCAGCACAGGGCGTTAGGATGGGCTCCATGACAACAAATAAGCCACCTTTAAAAAAATTACGCACGTCTGCATCAATTATAGAGTATGCATCCCCTTGGATGGAAAGGTCCATAAAACAAAACTTAGCTGGTTTAGTAACAGACCAAATGTTTAGCTATAAAAAGCAGCTTTTCAGCGCTTTTTACTCCGCGTGTTCAGCCAGCCCCCCACCAGAAAGAGCCGGGGGCACGGGCCAGCGGCCAGGAAGGGCTCAAGTGCCGGGCGAACGAGCGCTTCCCGTGGGGCCTGTGGCCGGCGGGCACTCAGACTGCCGGGCTGGGCCTCCGCCTCTTCCTCTCAGGAGCCAGGGCTCCCGAGAAGTGGCTGCCTGCGGCGTTTCCTACGCCAAAAAGCCTGGATGGGCTCCCGGGGGAGCGTCAGAAGCAGGGACGCCGCTGGGCCCGGGGGCTGGTCAGCGATCAACTCAGAAACCCCAACCCGCGCGGCCAGCGCTGTGCTGCCCACGCGGAACTGGCGCTTGGAAAGACAGGCCTCCTTACCAGGAATATCGGCTCTCCAAACGGCGAGAAGTCGATCGCGTTCACGCAGACTGGCCTCAGGCCTGGCTGCTGGGGTCGGAAGCACCTGGGGGACACGCTCAACCCCTGCCTGGCGCGGTGGCTCACAACACCCTGGCAGGAAGAGACAACGGTGGCTCGGGCAGAGGGCTCCGCACGAGGCTGGCTCAGGCCAGCTTTCCTGGGTCAACGCAATGGACATCATAAAAGCAAACGGTAAATTCACCTTTAATGATGATATTTTTCAAGCAACCGTAGGAAAGAAGAGCGAGTTCCAGAATGAAATTTAGACTATTCCTCACCATGTTGGTGCCGACGACGAAGCGATTGGGGTCCGCAGGCAGAAACTTGACGTTCAGCGTTTGAATGCTCCCCCGAAGTTCGTCGCCTTTGTGGGAAAGGCTGGAGGGAACGGCAGAGGTGAGCGGGGTGAGGGGGGGGCCGGTTTGGCCGGCGCGGGTGGAGCGACACAGCACACTGGTCGCCGACACGCGTCCGTAGGGGCGCGACAGGCCGTCTCGGTCCTGGGTTCTTCAGGCTGGCCCGTGCCCGCTCCTGGGCCCAAGGGGGTTTCTTCAGCCATGCCGCAGCTGGCCTCTACCTGCCCCCAACCTTAGATCTCACAGGGGGCCGTCCCACTCCTGGCCTTGCCTTTCAGACCCCACGCCTGTCTCGCGACCTGGCCTGCGGTGCCTCCTTGTGGGTGGAGCCCGTGATTTCTCTGCCGGCTGCTCCCTGTGGGGGCCCTGGGGCCCAGCGCGGGGCGCACGGGTCTGGGTCTGTGGTGCTGACTAACTTCTCAGCCTACAGGCGCAGTGCGCAGGGTTTCTTGCTCACGGAGGGCACATGGCCCCCCGGAGTCCCGGGCCGCGCCTCAGTCCCAGCCGCCTGCCCAGGCGAGCCAGGTGCCTCCCTGGCCTGCGTGGGCTGCGGCCCTGCCCGGCGGAGCCCGAGCAGCCGGCTCAGAGCCGGGCCTCCACGCGCCAAAGCTGCCCGTTGGCTTCAGCTCCCTCCTTGACGCGGCACTCTCGGGGTCTCAGGGTCTCCCCTCATTCAGGCCTCTGCTTAGCTTGTCTTTTACCTCGCCTGGCGCCAGACGGCCACGCTTCCTGGGTCGGAGTCAGGGAACCACGCCCCCCTCCAACTGGGGACTGCAAGCGGCACTTGTCAGCGCTTGTCAGCCGAGGACAGCCTCCTGCCACCTCCAGGGGCACAGCCCAGGCCCCCGCCCTCCTTCCCCACTCCTCGTCTGTGTGCGGGACCCAGCAGCCGAGCGGACGCCTGGGCGGGAGCGGGTGCCCCTCAGCAGCTGCAGACCCGGGCGGCCAGTCCCCCGCCTGCCCGGAAGGTTCGCCCGCCCCACGCCTGCCGCCCTGGCCCCAGCCCTCCAGGCTGAGTCCTGTCTCTGCCAAGGGAGCCGTGGAGCCTCTGCGCAGCAAACTCTCTTCGGGTCTGGCCACGGACCCCCTTTTCTCTCAACGACAAACCACCCGGTGCTGCCCCAAACGGTCACCTGCTGCGCCCCGTGACTGGAGGCTCGCTCCCAGTCACCTCTCTGAGGTCACTGTTCACGCATCCCCCACCGGTGGCCCCTCTGAGTGCCCCCACGCCACGTGCATGTCCCAACGGAGAGATTCACGCGTGCGCCACACGTACAGGGGATGGGGAGATGGGTCAGCACCCGGGGTCGCTCCCGCCTCAGGCTCCCGCGCCCAGCGGCCGACGGCAGAGGGCCCCGGGCCCGGCTCGGACACTCTGGGAAGCCGAGCCAGCAGAGCCCCGGGTCCCAGGGACCTGCGCTGACCGCTCGCCTGCGTCCTCACAGGAGCCCAGGGCCTGGTGGCCGGCTCTCAGCGCGTCAGGCGGCCTCCTTAGACCCAGCTGCTCCCCCACGTGAATCATGTCCACGCGGCAGCCGGAGGTATGCGGTCGGCCCCTCGGCGCAGCCCCGGGCTTTCCGCCTGACGGCGTGGCCGCGGCCCAGCCCAGCACCTCTCCCGGGCCAACCGCAGGCCGAGGGGGCCCAGCCACAGTAAAGGACAAGAAAAGGTTTCTTCCAGAAATAAATTAACGTGGAACAGAAACCCTGCAGGTGGAACCGGTATGTTTAATAAGAACGTCTATGGCATATCACGCTACCTGAGCAAAAGCAGAAACCTGAGCTTCCCAAGTCAAGTTTCATGTCCCTGTTTCTGGGTCTACCTTCCTGCACAGCTGCACTGACATTGGATGAAAAACGGTCAAACCGTGCCCCTTTCTTCGATGCACGGCATTTTAATCGAGGAACAGCGGCTGGCTGCCCGCGGACTTGTCACTCGCCAGTACCAGCCGCCACCTCCGTCACCTCTGCCTGTGGGGGCGGGGGCGGGGGCGGGGCGGTCTTACCTGTCCCTCAGGTGAGACACAGCGCTGTGCACCAACTTTATTCTCCCTCCAGGTATTAACCCTAAAAACAGAGAAACGAAGGAGAGCGCCCGTTCACACAAGCCCCGCCCAAGTCCGGCACAGCGGCCGGGGGTCAGGTTTCGCCGTCCCAGCCCGGGCGGCGGTGACTCAGAGGCAGGTGGCCCCCGCGCCCCTCAGCGCCCAGCACGAGCGCAAAGGCCCTGCCGCTCAGAGTCTCTGGGGAAAGGCCTGGTGGCGCCAAGGTCAAAACTCTCACATCTTATACTTTATGAAATAAATCAAGGGCAGCATGGTAGGCAAAAAATTAAAAAAACCCAGTGCTTAGCATTCCTGAGGCTCCGCACAGAAGCTCCCGTGTGAACGGGCACCGGCCGGGCCCTGGCGGACGACCGGGCACCAACTGCCCCCACCGCCCCTTCCCGTCGCTGCCCCCCCGGCCTCGGGGCCCCGCGCCTCCCCTCCGCCCCCCGAAGCTCCCGGCCACAGCCTGGCCCCTCCGTCTGTTCCCAGCGCCACCCCCCTGCTTTGTGATTACTGCAAAGGGGGGCCTAGAAGTTTATGTCTTGAAACCCAAATTCTGGGCAAGGCGCTGCCTCTCACAAACTACGGCAACAAACTGGAGGCGCAGGGGCACAGCGGCTGCAGTCGCAGGGCGCGTCCCCGCGCCCCCCCGGACGCCGCCCCGGACGCCACCCCGACCGGGGCGGGGCCCTCGACAAGCAGCCCTTGGGCCTCGGGCGCCGTGGCCCCTCTGGCCTCACTCCCGGTGCGGCCGCCCGTGCCCCCGGCACCCAGGCTGCTCAGAGGAGACTCACCGGTGAACGACTGGTCCCGACCCCAAGGCGAGCCCCCGGTCAGCCCCTCGGCCAGGCCGGGGACCCCCGACGTCCCCGACAGGCAGCTCAGGGCACGAAGGGACACACAGGCGCGAAGGGCACTTACGCCCCCGCCCCGAGGACACTGAGCCACAGCCCCCTCGGTCCCGCGCGGAGGGGCTCGCTCAGCGGCCGAGAAGTTAAGAAACATTGAACCGGACGTTCACGTCTCGGGTGGCACCTGAGTTCTCGACGCGGTTAATGGCACCTCGAACCTATTCGTTTTAGCAAACATGGACCAAAATTTGTCTTTCATTTTATAGTTACCTAAATCACTTATTGAACCGGCCACATCTGCCTTTGGTAATTCAACAACCACCTAAAAACAGAACATTGAAATGAACGTTAATGCCTCCATGGTTACAGAACCACCGCAGCAAAGCACAGGCCTAAGACGGCAGCATCTGCCCCGGGCGGTGGAACCGCAGCCGCTCCGGTGGGAGGACCGCACCCCCTTCCGAACCGGCGCCTCAGGCGCCGCGACTCCCTTTCTCTGCTCCTCCCCGTCCCTCGGCGGCTGGGCGGCCGGCGCCCCGCGCACCCGTGGGCCCAGTGGCCTCCTCGGTCCCTGCCGCCTGTCACGGGTGCCCCTGCATCCCCGTCCCCACAGGGCCCTGCCGTCCCCGCCACCCCCACCCCTCTGCGGCCGGCACGGTCTCGGTGGGCCGGCCGCTCCCAGAGCCCAGAAGTGTGGGGCTCTGCCCCCGTGCGCCCCACTCACCCACACGTTGAGAACCCCGCTCTCGTCCAAGGACGCGATGTGGAATGACAGCCCCGACATTTCTAACAGAAACAGAGAGAGAGAGAGAAGGGACCGGTGAGCTAGGGAGCCCGTGCCGCGCGTTGAGGTGAGGGCTTTGCGGCGGAGGAGGGGCACGTACCTTCGTGGGCAGAAAAGGGCGAGAGGACAAAACCCGGCTTCCTGTAGCCAGACGCCGAGACGGGTTCCACGGCGCGCAGGGCACTGCGGTGGCTCACGGAGGAGAGGGCGCCATCTGGGGAAGGCACGCGGCCCCACAGTGAGCAGCGCGTCGCAGAAACAGAGGCCACGCCATGGGGGGGGACACACGGCGCTGCCGCCGGGTCCCTGACGGGCCCAGGCGACGGTGACACGGGACCATCCCTTTCCGCATCGCCGTGGGGCCGAGGCCACGGGCCCCAAACTGCCCGCGAGGAGGGAGACAGGCTGCCCCATCTCCCGGCGGGATGGGGGCGAAGGCCAACGGCAGCCAGAGGGACGGTCCAACTGCCCGGGCAGGGCCCCGGGACATCTCAGCAGCACGTGCCGGGTGGGGCAGCGCAGTGGGGGGCGCGGCGGACCCTGCCCCCAGCCCGCCAGACACCGACGCCGGCAAACCACGGCTCGGCCAACCTGCAACCCCCACGACTCAATGCCCAGGAGAGACAACCGGACAAAGTCCACACGGGGCTGCTGCAAAAACGCAGATCCCAGGGTTCCAGCTGACGGAACCCCCCCCCCCCAACAAACAGGCAGGAGACAGAACAGCCAAACTCCACCCTCCACCCTGCGTCTCAGCCCCTTGAAAAGCAAACACACCCACAAATGCCTGGCACCAAAGGCAAAGAACAGAAATTAAACAAAGTAACACAAAAACCCAGCAAGGAATAAAACGAGAATTGGGCTGAGCTCGGGAGAGAAGCCGGGGAAGGACAAGCACGTCTCAGAAGCGGAGCACAGGCGATGGGGCTGGGGGCCCCGGCACAGGGCGGGCTTCCCGGACAGGGCGCGGCGGCGAGCTCGGAGGCGGAGGCCCGTCGGTCGCGGGCAGCGCACCTGTTCCAACAGCATCAAACCCACCTGTTCCGGTGAGTGCACGCAGTTGCGAATGCGGAGGTATCGTTCACAAAGGGGCAAAAATTGGTTAGTAGGAGACCAAAAAAAAAAAAAACCACGTTTGCCCTTTCTATGTGTAAAACACAGATATGTATGTGTGAGTGTTAAAGTTCCAGGCAGGGCCGATCCGGGGGAGAACGCTTAGAGGGCCGAGGAGAGAGCAGGGCTCGGGAGACGAGGCCTGTGAAGACGCAACTGCGGGGGTGCTGGCGTCCGAGCCCACACAGCCCCTACAGCTCAGCGACGAGGAAGCCGGGGAGCCCCCTCGGGTGCACGGAGGCCTGCGCAGGCAGGTCACCGAGGACACTCGGGGGCAAAGCAGCACACGAGCTGCCCCCGCGCGTCCCGTGTCGCCCGCGCGCCACGGGGAGCGGCCGCCACGCTGGCAGGGCCGCTGCCACCCTGGGGTCAGGCTCCCGGAGCCCACGCCGCACGGGGGCACGGCACGGTGCGGGCAGGTCGACGTGGGCTCACCGTCCCGCAACTAGAGTGAGCCACGCGTCCGCCTGCCGGCTGGCGGACAAGCCACCTGGGCGGTTTCTGGAACGAAAGACCGGTCGGCAGCGGGGAACGCACGGTGAACGCCGACAGCCCAGATCCACCACAAATGTGCCGCCCAAGGGAAGCCGTGCGGACGGTCTGTGTCCCCAGGACGCCAGGTACCTGCCATCCGGAGGAAGTGAGGCGCAGGGACGGAAATCCCACCAGCGGTGGCAGGAAGGGGCAGACGCGCAACCACGTGGGGGTGGGGCTACGGGCCTCTGGTGGTGACAGAGAGACAGCGTGCGGACAGCGGCCGAGGCCCCGTGCCCGAGCGGCCGGGAGGGAGGGCGAGGTGGGCATGAACGGCCGCTGCCTCGGAGGCGGGGGGGGCGGGGGCCGCTGCTGTGCCGGGCGGTTGTCTGTTGTGGGGGGCGGGGTGTGGGGGGTGTGGTGGAGTTGCTGTGTTGTGGGGGCTCGTCTGTGGTCCTGGGTGTCTGGTTGTGGCTGCGGTGGTGGTCGCAGCTGCAGCCGCCTGGTGAGTACTCGTGGGGTCTAACCAAGGATCCTGGCAGGTCCAGCGGTTCTGGTTCCTCTCGTCCCCCTGGTGGCGTTAACTAAGCCAGCAGCACACAACCAACACGCCTTCAGCTAATTTAAAACTAGATGCCACCTCACCGAGGACTCGGACCCACACATTGAACAGGAAGGACACGGCGATCTGCTGGCCGTCACCTGGAGGCGCCCCTGCTCTTCCTGCCGTTCGTCAAACGCCTCTTTTGCTCAGAGGTCGGACCCCACCCTCGGGGGTGGGTGCAGCCTGAACCTCTAACGCCACGGCATTCCCAGCACCCCTCGCACACGCGGGCCGCACTGACCGGTGGAAAACGTCGCCGTCCTGAACGTCCAGAAGCAGTCGCTCAGCTTCACGTAACGGTGTATCCGAGAGTCTTCTCTGAGGTCCCACACGACGACCGAGCCGTGCGCAGTTCCCGCAAACAGCAGGAAGGCCTTGGAGGGGCTCAGGCAGCAGCAGGTGACCTGGGGGGACACAGGGAGGGCTTGCCGTTCCCATGCGTCCCTGGGCCCCTCCCGCCGGGAGCTGGGGGACCTGCCGAGCGGCCGGGTCTGAGCGTCAGCTCCGTGGTGTGGGAAGCGGGCGGTGGGCCGACCCTGCAGCCGGCGCCTCGCACGCGGCCGGGCCCCCGTGTGCCGCACGACCCCATTCAGCCCCATCGGGAGAGCTACCTTCTGTCTCTGTTACAACCCACATCGCCAAGTTATTTCAAGCCCCCAAAACTGACACCCGCAAAGCTATTGTTCTCTGTGTTCTGGTGGAAATTGAGGACTCTGAGGTCAAGGAACACAGAGACGGGGTGACCCGCGTGGCCCCCAGACCATGGTCTGTGAACCGGGGGCCAGGGCACACACGGGACGACGGCCGGACGGAAAGCTGGAGCAGCTGAGAAATGAGAAACACGCCCTAGACCCCCCGGGGCAGACACAGAGTGCGCCTCCGGGCCCGGGGCCGTGGCAGGGCCGGCGCCCTCACTCCGCGGGCACCGCGTTCACACGCAGCTCCAGCGCTCACCAGGCTCCCAGGCGAGTCGGTCCCTGGAACGAGCAACTCCTAGAGCCAAAGCAACACGCGCGCGTGTCTGGTCCCACCCGCCCAGGCAGAGCTGAGGGTGGCCGGCCGGAGAGAGGAAGGGCCTCGCGTGTCCCGCCCTCGCGGGCCCCCGGGCCTACGCCGCCCGCCCCCTCCTGTTAACCCCCGGCCCCCCGGTCGCACCTGCGACTCGCAGACCAGGACCTTCTGAGGCGCCGAGGGCTGCCAGAGGTCCCACACGCAGAGCACGCATCTGCTGTCCAGCGGCGGCGCACAGGCCTTCCCGGGCAGACCGTGGACAGACACCACCGTCTGCCTCTGAGCCTGGGAGGCGTGCAAGCAGGACACTTCCCGATCTGGGAAAGAAGAAAAATATTTCTGCACTTTGTGATCTGCCAGAACCCGTGTGAATACATTTCAGCTCCATGAGAAAACACACATGGTCCTTTCAAAGGTCCACATGCCCAGAATCGGGGTGGACAAATGGCCACAGCTCTACCAGAAAATGGTCCAAGTTGCCTTGTGGTTCTGCTACAAAGGGACCCTTCAAACTTGGTGCAACGCGGCCTGGAGCCAGGCCTCCTGAGTGGGCCCTCGGTCCCCAGGCCGCGGAGCCCCTCCCTCGGGCACGGTGCCCCCGGCCACAGCCCCCGCTCCCGCCCCGCTCTGCCTGCCGCCTGAGACCCGGCCCCGTCTGGCCGGCCGCCCTTCCCTGGGTCAGCCAGCTCACAGTCTGTCTGGCCCACAGCATTTCTGTCTGTCCGTCCACGTGCGCGAACGTCTGTCAAACGCAGGAACGAACATGCCAACACGGGCAGGAAGGGGCGCGCTGGCTGTGTCACTCGGCTGCGAGTGAGCGTCCTGTGTCGGTGACGCGGGGCTCCTCCCGAGGCCCCGGGTCCCAGGTGAGACGAACACACCCCGGTCGTCCAACCTCACCTCCTCTACCGTCTCGGACTCACTGTACGAAACACGACCGCAGACGGGGGAGCCCCTCGGACGCGCGCACACACCGGCGCCCCTCGCGCAGGGCGCCCGCGACGCCTGGGCCACTTGCACACACGCTCCAGGCCTGTCAGGCGCGGTCCCGGGGTGGCTCCGGGGGAGAAGGGGGTGGCACATGCACACCTGAGTTACGAACGTCACAGATACAGTGATTCACCGTTTTCCTCACAGGATGAGCCCTATCTTTCAAAAATAAAAACACTTCTAGAAAACACAAACTGTTTAAAACTAACTACGTCACTTTTGTTCACGTTAAATGCAGAGGGACATATGTGAATTGGAATCTCTGGACAGCAGGCCGGCAGAAGAGACGTGTGGGACGGGGCTCGTGGCCCCCCCGCCCCCCTCAGATGCCTCTGGGGGCTGCCGCCCGCCACCGCACAGCCCCGTGCCCCAGGCAGAGCAGGGCCGCCGGAGCCGCAGGCCTGGGCCGTGCCGACGCCGTCCGCCGAAGTGGCCTGAGCAGCTCCACGCGGCTGCACGGCGCTGCGGGCCCGGGCCGACTTCGCATCTACGCCCGGAGGCCCGCGCGCGATGTTGGGCGGCTGCTCAGGCCCCGGGGGGCCCCCTCCCAGGACTCACGCTGCCCTCTGCGCGTTGGAAGGGGCCGAGCGCGAGGCCGGGGAGGACGCGCACACACAGGGCCACCGTCTGCGCCACGCAAGCCCCTCCCCCGTCGTCTCAGGAGCGCGCCTGTCACGCCTGACGCGCACAGGACGGCTGAGCTGCGTCGCACAGGGCGCCGCCGCACATGGCATCAGCGTCGCGCCTGGTGTCGCATCCAAGCACGCGGTCGGCTCTTACGCTGCAGGAAGGGCAGGCTGGTGTTCAGCTGGCAGGAGCTGGCGCTGAGTGGCAGGGTGCTGTCCTGGGCCCCGGGGTCCCGGCCGGGCGCCGCTGCCACACGGTCCTCTTCCAGCAGAACCGCAACCACCTTCGGAGACAGAGAGCAGCCCTCAGCCGGCCCTGCACCGCGCGCCCTTCGCCGGGAACAGACTCATGTCGCTGCCCGGCACGTCACCAGCGTCAACACCACCGCTCAGCTCCACGACGCCCCGGACGCCGCCAGAACGCAGCCCCGCTGTCCTGTGGGCCCAACGGGCGCCCGAGGGCGGCCTCCCCGAAACAAACGCCGCAGGGGAGCCCGTGCTGGCGGCGCACGCCGCGTCTCACGGGAACGAGTCTGCTGCACTGAGAGGACGGGGAAATCAGCCGCCCGTCCAGCTTCTCTGGACGAAGGTGGAGTGCGAGGGAGCGCCAGGCCCGGGCCACCACGGGGGGCCTCCCGGGCAGGGGGGGCGGGCGGGGGGCGGTGCTGAGGACGGGGAGCGAGCGGGGAGCCGCAGCGGCCCGCCGCCCCACTGCTCTGCACGCAGCTCGAGGCTGTCCACGGTCGGTTTAAAGGGTCATTTCAGTCTAACAGTTCCAAACACCCCGGATGAACGTTTGCCTCGCCCGCTCAGTGCGTGTTCCCGTGAGTTCACTCTGGGATGGACGCAATGAATGCTAAGGCCCAGAACGCGGATGCACAGCCAGCAGTGCTGGTGAAACGCGGCGGCGACGTCGCAGGCGCCTACCTGGCAGGCCGCACGCAGGAAGCTGGACAGGCGTGGCGTGTCGACCTTCGGTGCGCCCAGGGCCCAGGCGCCTCTGCGCTCGCTCCCTAGAACAGGTGCAGGACGGTGCGGTGGGCTCTCTGCCAGCCACGCCCCACCCCCATCAGAGCGGACAGACCCTGGGACCCTGCCGCCCCGGGACCCTGGGGACCAGGAGGGAGGACTCGGCAAATCCCACGTTTGTCTCTGGATCCACTAGAGACGTTTTTCAAAACCGACTGCATGCTGAAGGAAGGGGGCCGGTGTGGGGTGGCGAGCCCACCCGACCTTCATGTGATTTCATTAACCCGTCACCCCAATCAATTTAATTCAAAAAACCAACTGCATCTTGTTTTATAGAGTCTGTAGACAGACTCCCACTCAAAGACATTAAAATTCAGAGGCAGGCAAAACCAAGGTCATAGTCGTGATACAGATGGCACAGTCGTCAACAAGTACCGACGCGGGAGCACGCGCTGCTCTGCACGCTCAGCTGTGACCCTGTTTCCGCCGCAGCTGCGGCTCCTCAGGGCGCGGCTCCCTGGTGGGGAGGGGGACTCACAGGCCCTGCCTCGGAGCTGACGGCCACCCGGGACAGCGTGCACGACAGAGAACCGCGCGGGTGCAGAGCACAGTTCGGGGCCCAGCCGTCCACGGCGAGGCAGCCTGTCTGGGCCCTGCTCTCGATGCATGAAAATCCCCATTGGTGAGCACCGGGGGAGACCCCCCTACACGCGTGGCACGTGGACGCTTCCCTGACGCTGAGGTGTGTAGGAGCCCTGGCCCAGGCCCGGCTCGGTGCTCAGGCCAGCGGTTCACAGGGCCCGTGTGCTCCTGTGAAGGCTGCTTGGTATTCCCACAGCCAGGTGCTAACCACCCCCCCCAAGAGAAAGACAGAAGAAGAAAGAAGAGAAATGGAGGAACGCAACACCAAAAACCATGTAAAGAAATTCCACTTTCAAGGGTCGGGAGCGAAGAGCTGTTTACCCCCAGACACGGCCGAGCCTTCCCCCGGGTGCTGGGTCCACACCTCCCTGGTCTCTATCTCCTCCGTCTGAACGTCGCGTTCAACGTTGTCTTCGTTGCACTGAACGTAGGCCTTGAAGACAAAGGGGCAGAGTTAGCACTGGGCCTCAGCTTCAGAGCAAGGTCTCCGTACTGCAAAGAAAGATGGAAAGATTTTAAATTATCCACGGCAGTCTTCCTGCTTTTGTCAAAAGTAGGTTTGGCATAAACCACCACCAGGCAAGGACTGTGTGTCCTCAGCGTCTGGAGAGGTGCCGTGGGGCCGAGACGACGTGGCGAGGCTGGACCACGTCCGGGGAGCGCGGGGATCCCTGAGCGCACGGCGCGGAGACCCTGCGTGGTGACAGCTCGCCCTCGCTGGGAACCAAAGGTGACGCTGCCACCCTCGGAGTGTAGGAGCGGCCACTGCATGCGGGCACGCCCGGTCCAGGTTCACGAGCGCACACATGACCAGGGGTCCCCTGTGCCCTCTGTCCATGTCCCCCGCACACTCCCAAGCCCTCTCCGTGCAGAACAGGGCGGGGGACAGCACAGACCTGCCTGTGCTTTACCTGCATTTTGTCACCTAGCACGTCGCATACTAACCTGCCTGGTATTCTTTTTCCCAAAGTTTCTGATGTACATGTCGTATTCGTTCACTGGTGGCAGATCCAAGAGACAGAACGTGAACGAAAAATCCAGGTCGATGAGCCGAAGCAGCTCTGTGCTGCGTGTCCTTCAAAACAAATGGGAAATCAGACGAAAGTTAAACTGAGTGAGACACGGCGGGGCGCGCAGGAGAGCGTGGGGGCCTTCGGGCCCGGTGGAGCTGCTGCCCGGGCGCCCTGTGGCTGGAGCTCGTGAGGCATCGGTCGTCTCGGGTGCGGGGACCCGCCCTGCGAGGACCCCACAGCCCGCGTTCCCCGGGGTTCTCACGCCGCGCTCCAGAGACAACACAAGACAGAGTCGGGACACATGCTCCTCCAGCAGCCGTGGACAGCAGGTCACTTCACTTCGTGACTGCGCGTGCCCGGGCCGGCGTTACCTGTCTGTGACGTCACCTGCGCTGCGGCCTGAGCACGTGTGTCGTGTGCGTGCGCCCACCGTCCTCGAGGTGCCGGAGACCCATGTCCCACGGGACTTGACCACACAGAGTCTGACGAGCAAGTCGCCAGCGCCCCAAGAGGCTCCCCAACCCAGCACGTGCTGGCTTCCCCCTGCACACAGACGCCCCGCCCGACCGCGCGAGCCCGGCCGCCCTGCTCCCCGACGCCCGGCACTGGCAGCCCTACCGCCGCGCAGTCGCCCGGGGCCATGGAGGCCGTGCCCCGCGGTGCCGGTTTCCACCCACTGGGGTCCCACACGCCTGGCGCTCGACCAGCAGGCGGCCCTTCCCACGCACTCAGGGTCCTTGCCCACGGCCGCCACCCCCTGCCCCGAAGCCTCACGCCACACGGCACGCACGGCAGGCGAGCCCCACGGCGGCAGGGCAGGGCTCATGGGCGCGCGGCGCCCCTGCCACCTTCCCGGCGTCGCAGGCCCGGGGCGACGTCCCCTTTCCATTCCTGCTGCTGAGGGCTCGGGTCTGGCTTTCTTTTTTTCCTTTGGCCAGACTTCCTGGGAGTTATAAACATGGTGAAACTTTTCAAAGAATTCGCTTTGGCTTTGCTGAACTTGGCTGCTTTCAATTTATGGATCTGTACCCTTATCTTCTGTCATTTCATTCCTTCTCATTTCTTCCTGTTCCTTCGCTGGCCCCTGGAGACAGATGTGTGGTTTGCAGCGTTTCCGTCTCCAATGGTCTCGGAAAAGCTTTCGCTGTGCCCGCCGGTTTTTAAGGCTGGTTTCCACGACCACCGTTGAGAATAGTCTCTAATTCCCATCTGACTTCCTCTCTGACCCCCAGTTTATTTTAAAATACACTATTTAATTTCTAAACTTTTGGATATTTCCTAATTACCTTTTTATGACTAATTTCTAGCTTAATTCCACTCTGGTCAGAAAACATCCTCTGTATCTTTTCAATCCTATGTGCAGAGTGCACGACCTTTTTGAGAAAGTCTCTGAATTCTTCAAAACGATATAGAAATTGCCGTTGCAGGTTTAAGTTTCAATGTATGTTAGGTGTGGTTTCTTAATTACACTGTTTAAATTTTATGTTCTCTTCAGCCGCCGAGGTGGCCCATTGCGAGCGCCCAGCCGTGCCTGTGAGGCGTCCCTGTGCTCTCGGTGCGGGGCAGCTGGCGTCACCTCCTTCGTGCCTGCAGTTCGGGCGCATGGTAGGTTCCCCTGCTGGACGGGCCCGTCTATTGCTATTAAGTGGCTTTCTCGTAATCTTCTTGCTTTCTCACGTTTTCTTTGATACTAGTGGCGGCAGCGTTATTTTAGTTAGTGTTGGGTTGGTGTATTTCTCCATTCTTTTTTCTCCCTTTCTGTGTCCTGCTACGTGTGGTCTGTCTCTTGAAAGCAGCACACACAGGTGTCGCTCAGCATCTTCGCGTGACACTGCTGACGAGGTGCGGCAGGCGCCTGACTCTTCCCTGTCCAATCGGCCGGCGGTAAAACCGGCTTCCTCACACGGCGTGTCACTCAAGTCACAGAACCTGTTGATGGGTTAAGGGAGGACGTACCGTCCGTGACTTAACGTGTAACACAAAACCTGGTGGGTTCTGGCGTGACCCCCAGCTTCCCGCTGTTTCCTGTCTTCCAAACCTTGTTCCTCTGTCTGTCCTTTCCTGATCGCTTTTTGATTAACCACGTTTGCTTTTCATCATCACTGTTCCATGAGCTCTTCTCTACTTGCTTGTTAGTTATAAATAACATTTTTGCATTATCTCTCCAGGTTACGCCGGACATTTCAACAAGCATCCCTGGCCTATTGAAGTCCACCTGGGATTAAGCACCTTTCCTGCCGGGACCTCGCCACAATTTCCCGTTGCCACTCCCCTGCCCCAGGCCCCGGACTACGCGGCAGATAATTTAATCGCACAAATACTGAAGTCTGACAGGCAGCCGCGTTAATTCCTCCTTCCCACATGCAGACCTTTCTTTGCATTGTTTCCTGGTGAAGCCGATGCATTACAAGCCAGCTGCTCCTCTGCACTCCCATCAACACTGGAGTGTTACCGGGTTTTAAAACTTCGCCTATCCCTAGAGAAAAACTCATCTCCTCATTGTTTGGACATCCCTTTCTCTGACTACGTAAAAGACTGTGTTTTCCTGCTTCCGCCGACCGCCCGGGGCCTCTGGCAGAGGCTGGGGCAGCGGGCAGGAGAGCCGCCCGCTCTGCTGAGGGTCCCGTGTCCCTCTTGGCTCCTCGGCCTCCCAGCACCTGTGTGGTCACCGGACTCCACAGACGTCTTTTAATGCCCCTGCGGCTTCTGTTTTCCTGCCTGATCTCCAGCCAACATTGACCTCGGCCCATTTTTCACTGGTGTTACTTAGCTTTGCTTGCTAAGTTACCAAACAGCGGAGGCACTAGGAATTGTGAGGCTCTACCATCCTGCAAGTTCATTTTCCCAACTGGCCGCCGACCTTTAAGTTCTGTCAAGCTTACGGAGTTGAGCTCCTCGCAGAAATTTAGTTCTGCTTGTGGTCTCGGAAGCTCCTTCCTGCCACCGGAAGCCCAGGCGCGTCCCCCTGCTCTTGCTCCCTGCCCTCCCGCTCCAGCGGGAGCCGGCCTGGACGTGCTGTGAAGCGGCTCTGTCCCCCCGGCTTCTGGCTCAGCACGAGCCCGCGCCCGGCAGCCGCGCCCGGCAGCCCGCGCCGCCCCTCCCCCAGCACCTGCGCCTCCCCGCAGCAGAGGCACACGCGCCGAGGCCCGGCCACGGGTCGCGGACGCACCCCTGCGTTTGTCATCCGCCCATTCGTGTTTCAGCCGTCGATGTTTTAAGTCCTCTTTTTAAACATTTAATAGAATTTTCGACCCCGAACAGTCCCTGTGATACGGTCATACATCGCGCATCACACGTCATGATACAGCTAACGCCCTCAGCCCGAGCCCCGCCTGGAACCAGCCACAGCGCTTCCCTGCTTTTTGACACGCCGGTGCCCCTCACGTTCACGCTGCCTCCACAGCGCGCTGCGCGGTTCCGACTGTTCATGGGTTTATGAAAACTGCGTTAAACCAAGTTCAGTTTCCAAGCTCCGACTGAGGTAAAAGACAAATAACAAAAAACCTAGCCATAATGGCAGGAACTGGTTTTACTATCTCAACAGGCAGCTCAAAATATAAGGACAACGATAACGCCGTGGAGACTTATTTTTATCATTAAGCATTAATTTTATGACTAATTTATCTGCTCATGTAGCATAATGTAGTGAGTACTTAGTGAGGCTGTGTACTCAGCTGGATGATAGGACGGATTTTAAACCCACTTAAAAATATATACACGTTTTACGTTCACTCCTAAATCATATTTGGGTTTCATGTCGTAGAACCTGGACTTGAGGCTACACCCTCTGACTCTTATAAATATCCAGATCGTTCAACTTCCTAGATTTAGTCGTTAGGAGCTTGGACTCTGAGATCCAGGAGCCTCGAGCTCAAAGCTCAGCTCCAGCAGCTGTGACCTCGAGCTGCTTCCGTCCACAGGACGGGCCGTGAGGACCGAGTGAAATGGTTTGCACGCGGGACACAGCGCCCGGGTCCTGGGCCCCGCGGCCTCCTCGGCAGCGCACCGCGGGGCACGGCGGCCGCCACGGGCGCGGCGCTGCGAGGTGGGCGGCCGGGTCCCTCGCTGCTGGCGCGGTGCGGGCCACGCGCAGCGTGAGTGGGGGAGCGGGATCCCGCCTCGGGTCCGGACTCCTGTGGACCTGCGGGCTGAGCAGCACACACCCGCTCTGTGAACACGGCAGCCAAACGCAGGGAAGTGCAGTGCACATCACAGAAAGTACAGTCAGCGGTGAAACAAAAGAAGTCTATTTTAAAAAGTAAGTTGAGGAAAAATACATGAAAGCTTCGTAATACCTTCTGCAAATTTCCCAGGACACCTACTTTTGCTTAAGGGCCTGGGTCCGGCTCTTTTGACGATGGGAGGCAGTGGCAAAATCCACAAATATCCCACAAACCGGGGCTCTGGAAGAGGAGCTGTTTGCATCTGTACGGAAAAAAAATAAAACCCCACATTTTTGTGAAACTGAAATATTTCAAGAAAAACGAAGTCAGGAGGAAAACAATCAGAAGCATGTCTAACAGTTACAGTCTGCAGCGAACGGGGACAACGATGAGCACTGTCCGCAGGCATTTCCCCCTCTGCTGATGGCGCCGGAAACTTGCTGGCGGCGAAGCAAAAGTGACGGCGTGCGCGCCAGGCGCACCACGGAGCGCTTCGGGGACACGGACACCTTCGCGCGGGTGCAGTCCTGTGCCCGCCTCGCCCCCAAGTGCGCGTCTAGCGTGGCAGCTGGGGCGCGAACACACGGACAGCTGAGAGGCAGAGACAGGTGCGGGCCGCCGCGCGTCCTTGGCTGAGGGCCGGCGATCGGACAGATGGGCGACCGGCTCCAGTCGCGGTGACAGCTCCGCCCACCGCCCTCCTGTGCACAGGAAGGTCCGCCCTGAGGATTTCGGTGGTTTTCTGGGTGGATTTTTCCACACGTTTGGTTATATGTTTATTTCAATCGAACCTCATGCCCTATTGCCTGTATCCCTGAGGCCCAGGGCACAGTCCACGTCCCCGCGGTGTCTCAGCCCGGGCCCGGCTCTGCCCGTCTGTCGCCTGTCCGGTGAGCGGGTGCAGGCTGCCCCCTTTCCTCACACGTCTCTCAGACCCACGGGAGGCAAAGGCAGACTGCGTGGCGAGAAGAGGGCTGCCAGCTGTGTGCGCCACGCAGGTGCCAGGAAACAGCCGGCAAATACTCCCGCAGCCCTGAGAACAGGGTGAGCGGGCGACGTGTGCAGCCCCCGGGCGAGGGCGCGAGGAAAGACGCCCCTGCAGCGCGGCTCCCCAGTCCTGGCCACCGCTCACTGACCGGCCGACCGACAGCTGACCTGTCCCTGGGAAAACGCTGCTTATCTAACGGTTTCCTACTGCCCTGGACAAGGATCAGGCGTGCAGCCGAGGAGCAGGCTGGGTGGCCAGCAGAGGGTGCGGCAGGGTGCGGCAGGGCACCAAGTGAAGGGTGCCGTGGGGGCCGGGCCGGAGAGCAGGACGCAGAGAGCGGCCCCTCCCAGCCACGCGCCCAAGGTGATCGCGCAGACACACCCTCACGCTCGCTGTGCTCCACGCGGGCCTGGCCCTCTCTCAAGCACTTTTTTACAAGTATCAGCGGATTTAGTCAATCCTCACAACAGCCCTAAAGCACCCTGTGCCCTTGCTTTGCGGGACGGTCACCCAGCCAGCATGCGACAGAGCCGGGAGCACCCACCCCTGCGCCTGCCGCAGCAGCAGAGGCCCCGGCTCAGCCAGGCCGGCTGCGCCCGACACGTCGCCGGGGGCAGCCCCAGTGCGGCCTGGCCGGCGCTGCCCTCCGAGCGCGCGAGCCACCGAGTGAAAACACCACAGAGGTCACACCGTAATGAGGGTCCCAGGTTCTCCGAGATCGAGCTCCCCAAGGCCATAACGCCCAGGACAGCGGAGACATGGGGAGGGAGAACAGGTCGTTCGGAGGTCTGCTCAGGAAACCGGAACCTGAGAATAAAACCTGCCCCCTGCTCAGCAGGCCAGGAACGTGTCCCCTGGCCCCGCCCCCGCTCCACAGCGAGAGGTCACGCGGGGGCCCTGCTGGACACCACCGCCACGGGACAGCCACCCTGGCTTCGAGGGCCCGTTTCAGCGATAGATGTGGAGAGAGTTCTAGAATCGGCACATCCCAGCTCGGCGTGGCGGCCTCTGCCGCAGGCACGGGCGTGAGGGCTGTAGGCGTTTGGCTGGACCCTCGCTGGGTTATCACATCGCATTCCTCAATCCGCGATGCCGTAAGCAACTGCATTATGCCTTATCTGACTGCATGACTTAAAGCAGCATATCACCCAATCATAATCTTAACGCTGTCCTAGATGACGTTTTGTGATATTTTTAGTGTTTTTTTAAAATCAGAATGTCACACTTTTTCCCTTTATGTGATTGAGAACTACTCCTACCCTCACAAGTATCCCTATCGTCACCAGATGCCAAGGGTTTCAGAGCAAAGCACATCTCTGACTTCATCACGAAAACCCTGCTCCTGAGCCCGTTACCCACCGTGCTGGCCCTGGGTCCTGCCCACGCCCCCGAGCCTCCTTGTGGAACCTCCAGGGCAGCGCCGCCAGAAAACAGGAGCAGCTGGCCCTGCCCAGGGAGCTCGGCTGGTGACAGCGCCGCCCGCCCGGCCACAGCTGCGGGTTCGACCCCCAGTCAGGGCGGACACAGGAGTCAACCAAGGAACATATGACCGTGGAACAACAGATGGACGCTCCTCTCTAGAATCAACAAAGTAAAACAACAAGAGCTGTGCTGCAGACGGGCAGACCGACAGCACAGGAAAGACACGCAGGATGGGCTGCGGCCCACACGCACAGCCGCCCTCAGCCGCAGCCCCTGCGCAGAACGGCCACGCCCCCCCCCCCCCGCCAGCAGGCGCCCCGAGAGCAGGGCCTGGCGCCCACGTACCTGACCCCGGGTCCCCCGCGGGCGCCGTTCGGCCGCGCTTCAGCCTCGCGGACAGCGCGCCGGCCCTCTCGTTCTCCGCGGCGATGGCGCTCTGGAGGTCCTGGATCTCCTTCCTTCTGGCGGGGGGCAGCGCTTCCCCCTTCTCCGCGCACCCGGGCCCCGCGGCCCCGGCGTCGGGGGCGGTGTCATCATCGTCGTCTCCATCACAAACCTCGAAGTCGTCTTCGTAGTCCTGCGAAAGGGGAGGAGGTTTGGGGGAACTTTAGGGCGAACTGACTTTAGAGAACAGTTACACAAAGCAAACGTACAGCTGACCCTTTAAAATAGGCCGTCGCTGTCAGCAAGGAGGCCCCTCTGCCTCTCCCCCTAAATTTATGAGCGGACCCTGCCCCTCGCAAACCCCCGAGAGAGCCGTGCACGCGTCCACCCGCAGGCGGCGCGCGCAGGGCAGGCGGGGAGGACGCGGCGGTGCCCGCAGGCGCACCTCGCTGGCTGCTGTGGCCGAGCTTTGCGCGGTGGGCGCGGAGGGGCGGGGCGGCCTCCACGGCACCGCCGGCAGAGGGCAGGGGGTCAGGCGCTGGGTTGCGGCCGATCACTGGCTCCTCCCCGCACGTCGGGCCTTGGCTGCCGCGCGGGGGTGGGGGTGGGGGGTGGGGGGGGGGTGGGGTGGGGGGGTGGGGGGGGGGTGGGGTGGGGGGGGGGGGGTGGGCAGCAGCCACGAGGAACAAAGGCACAGAGCTGGGGGCTCCCAAACCCCACTACTGCTGCCCGCCACGCCCCCACATCACCGCGGTGGCGCCCCACGGCTGAGGCAGCGTGGATGCGGCAAGGACACCCACCACCCTTGTCACCCAGGTGTTAACTTTCATGACCACAGGGACGCCCCACACACTGCAGGCCCGCAGGGAGGGGCAGGGAGCACAGATAAACCCACAGCGCGCACTGCAGCACCACCTGGTGGAGAACAAAGGAAAGTCCTCTAATGGCCGCCCGCTGGAGCGGCGGGGTCCCAGGTGCCTGCCTGGACAAGGAGGGGGCTCCGACCCAAGTGCAGAGCAACAGCCAAGGCAGCAGGCAGCGCGGACAGGCAACCACCGGTCTCCAGAGCCCAGCGCGGGGCCACGGGCGCTGCCGCTTAAGTGGCAGTCTCCAGGGTTGCCGCCAGGAGGACTCGACCAGGGACACGGAGACTTGGCAGGGGGCGCAGGGAGCGCGGGAACAGCGCGGACGCACGAAGGGAGCACATGCCACTGGGGCGGGAACGTCGGAAAGAAGCCAACAAGGCCTGAGCTGAAGAACCCAGCCCACAAGATGCAGGGCACGGAGAGAGCACTGGACACAGAGCGGCCTGCACGGAGCGAGGAAGCCAGGGAAGGTTCCGGCGGGAGGAGAGAGACCGAGAGGTAACAGGTAAGAGACCTACGAGAGCGGCCGACCCCGTCGGGAAGGCGCGGGAGCCCCAGAGGGAGCGCGGGGCGGGAGCGGAGGCCTCTCCAGGGAAGGAGCCGCCGAGGGGGCTCCTGGCACCCGGGGCGGGGACGCACCTTCGGGCCCAGGAGCCAGCAGGACAGCTAAGTTGCTCAGTGCAAAAGACCTTCTCCAAGACGTTCTGAATTACAACTGTCAGAAGTGAATGACAAAGAAAGAACTCAACGCAGTGGGGCGGGGGGCGGGGGACAGCAGCCTACAAAGGAAACCCCGTCAGCTGTCACCACGTGTCTCAGTGGACACCCCACAGGTGGGAGGAGCGTGGAGTGAGACACTGAGACTACGGAGAGAACCCAGCGGCCAGCAGCAGTAAGTCCTTTCGCTGTGACGGAGAAACAGAGGCAGCGCTCGGCCGCGCGCCGGCCTCCCAAGGATGGAAAGCGGTCCTGCCCCCTGAGCAGGAAGACGCGGGGACACGGAGCCCCGCGCAGGACGGCAGAGAGAACGCAGGAAACCGCAGCCCTGCGTCCGGGCGCGGTGGGAACCGTCACGTCAGGACGGGTACGGACAAAAGGCATTAAAAATAACTATAGCTCCTGCAATTCGATAACAAACATACCATAAAACATAAAAAGGGGTGATTTCTGACCACAGAACACGAACAGGGAGAGGGAACGGACTGAACGTGCGCACGCAAAGGGAGACGCCCCCAAAAGGCAGAGGACATTCCATCCACACCCCACGGGAACCACAAAACGAAATCCAACCTCCAGAGCCGGGACCCAAACACCCAGAAACAGGAAACGCAGACGCCACCACAGGAAGCCTCCCCCTGAAAGGGCAGACAGAAAGCAAAGAGAAGGGGAACAACGGAGACGCCGGACAACCGGGGCGCAGAAGATAAAGCGGCTGCAGTGCGTCCTAACGTGTCAGCGGCCGCCCGGAACACCCGTGGCTCCAAAGGGGAACACAGCCCCGGAGTGAAGCGGGGGGGCACGATGCTCTGAGCGAGGCTGTCGGGCGGGGGGCAGGCGCAGCCAGACCCGCATCAGGCGACACAGACCTCGACACAGCAAGGGCGACAAAGGACAAGGACAGGCGTTCCCACTGATAAAGGGAACGATCCAGACAGGAGACACACCGTTTATTAACAGAGACGCACCAGAGACATTTACAAACGATACTTCCAACGAGGGGCTAATATCTGAAATATACACAGGGCTCATGTAACTCAACAACAACAAAATCAATCTGCTTCAAAGATGGGCAGAGGACCTGAGCAGACGTTCTTCCGGGGAAGACACACAGATGGCCGACGGTCACAGGAGAAGACGCTCAACGTCATCAGTCATCAGATGCAGATCAAAACCACAGTGAGAGACCACCTCCCGCCTGTCAGAATGGCCACCATCGAAAAGGCAAGAAACACCAAGTGCCGGCGAGGACGTGGGGAACTGTCGCTGGGAATACAAGCCGGGGCAGCCGCTGGGGAAGACAGTGTGGGGGGTCCTCAACACCCAGAACAGAGCCCCGGCTGGCGCGGCGCAGTGGGCTGAGCACCGGCCTGCAAACCACAGGGTCGCCAGTTCTACTCCCCGTCAGGGCGCAGGCCTGGGCTGCGGGCCAGGCCCCCAGCAGGGGGCACGCGAGAGGCAACCACATGTCGATGGTTCCCTCTCTTTCTCCCTCCCTTCCCCTCTCTCTAAAAATAAATAATAAATTTTTTTTAACAAAGGACAAGTTAAAAATAGAGCTACCATCTGACCCAGCAATTCCACTTCTGATTATTTATCCAAAAAATATAAAATCACCTTCGTGAAGATCTACGTGCCCGTGTCTGTTGCAGCACAAAAGCCACGGCGCGGAGGCCGCCTGCCCCGGGCGGGAGGTGAGACAAAGGCGGCGGCGTGGTGCACGCGGACCGGCGGAGCACTGCCCGGGCCTCGCAAGGGCGGGCTGCCCCCATCGGCGACCACACGCTCGGCCACGGGGAGCACCGTGCGAAGTGAGGCGACTCCGACAGAAAGGACGCAAACCGGGTGCTGCCGCCCCCGTGCGGACGACCACGCACGAAGGGAACGAAGGGACCGACGGACACACAGACACAGACCCCGGGGCCAGACCGCAGAGCGGCGCCCGCCGGCGGGGCCCACGGGCCAAGGGGCACGCGCACGGGGACGGAAGGACACCAGGCTTCCGGTGGGGACGGGCGACACGCAGGCGTCACGTTACAGTCCTGTACCCTGGGAATTCACCTCATGTGGCGAGTCAGTGTCACCTCCATAAAACCAACCTTAAAAATGTTTAACGTAACAATAAAGAAGCTAGACAGTCCTCTGTGCGGCCCGGAGGGCTCCGCTGGCCGCTGACTTCAGTGTGGCTGAGTCACACGCCAGGGCTGCATGTGTGTCTCCGTAAACGCACCCCAGAGAGCAGCACACGCTCCCTGCAACCGCCACACGCACCCGCTCCCGTGCTGAGCGTGTGCGGGTGCGGCCCCGTGCACATGCTTTGTACACACACGTGTGCGCCCACACACGTGCGCACGCCTGAACGCGGCGCCCTGAACGAAGGCCTGAGTCATGCCGTCACTGCGTCACAGCGGTGACCACTGGCAGGTGTGCAGCCGCCCTGTTAGAGGTGACAGACCTAAATCAGAGAGATACGGACTCTCGAGAGTAATAATGAGACGGAGAAGCGACATGTTACTATGCTTACGCTGACTTCAAGAACATACTATTTTAAGCCAAAAGTTTGATGTTTATACATACTTCAAAATCATCTTCAAAACTGGCCGTGTAGCCATCAGCTCCAACATCTCCTACGTCGAGGTCTTCCTTTTCAAATTCCTACAGGTAAAAGTCAACACAACACAAAAAATCAGTCTAAATTCGAATCTCGCAAATACATTGAAAAATACAAGTTTTCTAAGATTCGTAAGTTGCCAACTTAAAATTGTAAGTATTGATAAAACGAGCAGCCTGCCTTCGAATTCTCTGAGAATTTGCTAACTTACAAGTGCGACAAGTGTGAGAGAAGAAGCGGGTAATAAACACACCATTTTGGGGAAGCGCCTGTAATTCTGACCAATAGAGAGAAAAGGTGTCGCGCCACCCAGTGCCACACTCCGCAGGGCCTCTCCCCAGTCTGTGCCCCACCCACGAGCACGCGTGTGCGCACGGCGAGGGACAGGAACACACGCCTGCGCTCCAGCGACAGGGACACCCCCGGGGCTCTGCCTCGGCCTGCCCCTCCCTTCCCGGCGCGTGACGACCGCCTGATCTGCCAAGCCCTGCGGGGCAGGTGCTCTGGAGGCCTGGGGATGCCACACAGGTCACCCTAAGGCCACCTGTCTGGGTCTTAAAGATGAGCAAGGAACGCCCCATGGCCCGGGGTTGGGGGGAGTTATTTCGAGCAAATGCTTTGTGGGGAAACGGCCCCAGGAGGAGGCCCTGCGGCGTCGCTGCGCCAGCGGTGACACATGCCGCACTCACTGCACAGACGGGCAGCGTACCCGCCGCCCGCCCACCCGCGGGGAGACACCGGAGCAACGCTGTGCAGGGCGCGCTCCCCGCAAGCCCTGGGGCCGCTGCACGGCCCACGGCCCGTCCCCTCGGCGGGCGGACGCGTGCAGAGCCCCACAGCGTGCCGGGCTCTCCGCCCGAGGGACGGGAGATGCCTCACTTCTCGGCATAACTGGGACCCGCGGGGGCGCGACAAGATGGAGCCAGGCGGGCGCTCAGCCAGCCACCGCAGGGGCAGCGAGCGGGCGGCTGTGCTTCCCCGCCGGTTTTGGAAAGAACGCCTCAGCCCCCAGTTAGAGCACACGCCATGGCCTCGATCCTGGGACCGGCCCATGTTTCCAAAAGCGGCCTGGGACTCGGAACGTGTCTCCCTGAGGGTGGCCCGAGTCCCGTCTTGTGTAACGTCTCTACTCAGTTTCTTCCATCTCCCCAGACTTTTGAATTTAAACGCAGAGCAAGGACGAGAAAACCGGCTACTTGTCCACCCTAAACCTACGAACCCGGGTGAAGGCCCCCCGCCGCCCCCCGTCCACACGGAGGAAGGCCCCAGCCCGGGGAGCCGGCCACCCCTCCAGTCCCGACCCTGAGGCCGCGGGCGGCCCGGTGTGAGCACTCGGTGCTTCCCCTTGGGCCTGACAGGGACTCGCGGTAGCCAGCAGACAGGAGCGGGGCGCGCGGACCCTAACCTCAGTGTCTTCGCCTCCCGGCCGCGGAGCCAGCTTCCACACGGCGGGGCCCCCGTCGCTGCTGTGCTGGGGGACAGAGCAGGGCCAGGTCAGCAGCTGAGGGGGTCTGCAGGCCCCCCACAGGCCCCCGCCGCCGCGCCCTCCTCCCCGGGGGGGGCTGCCCTCCGCGGGGCTGGGGCAGCTCGGGTCCCGGCTCTGAGCCGTGCCGACGCCTCCCCGCCCGGACACGGGGAGATGGCGGCACCCACTGCCTGGGGAGGCGGGGGGCACCAGGATGCCCCCCCATGGCGGCCGGCCGGCCCGGGCCGTGGTCGCTGGCACGAGGAGGACACACTCCGCGATGCCACTGGGCGAGGCCAAGGACAGCAGCGTCGCCCCGAGGGGAATGGGGAGCCTTCCCCGGGCCAGCGGCCCCGCCACACGCTGCGGGCCCTGCGCTCGCCGCGGAGCGACCCGGGGGGCTCGGCGCCGATGCTGCGGGACTGGCGGCCTAACCGTGCGCCGGAGCGCGTGGTCCAGCAGCGCCGAGGCCACTCCCGGATGCTTTATTTTGCTCCTTTGGTTAAAAAAAGGATGTAAAAGTCTCGTTGATCATTTCTTATAGTAATTGATGCTGAAGGGATAATACTTATGAAATGGTGCATCGTATGTTATTAAAATTATTTTTGTTTCCTTTTTAGTTTTTAATGTGACTGCCAGAGAATTTGATATTACAAATGTGGCTTGCATTCCAGTGGACAATGCTACTCTAGAGCTTACAAAATATTGGGAGATATGAAGAAAACATTAAAAACTATATAGTTTCATCCAATGACTCCACTTCAAGAACTGTATCCGTAGAAAGTGCGGGGAGGCGTCTGCGTCGTTAGAAACGGAGGATTTCCACGCCTGCCACCTGGGAAGCGCAGCCTGCTGCACAGGGCGTGGGGGCGGGACAGAGAACGGTGTCCGAGCCCCCCACGCACATCGGCATGCGGGGAAAAGGTCACACGGGAAGAAATGTGGGCACGGCCCCTTCTTCCCTCAGGTGTGGCCACAGCGGGACAGGAAGTGACCCAACCACCCCCAAACGCGAACACATAAAATGTGTGCACATGAAAACCCCACGTGCTGTACAGTGTAAGTTATATAAAACTGTGTGTTTTGTGTATGTGGATGACATGAAGAGATACATAAAAATATGGCACAAAATGTTAAAGCGTCATGGGTTTCAGAGAACCATCAAGGAGAAAAAGTATTCTTCAGAAGTAACAGAGGCCAAAATTTGCCACATTATTCGTAACAACAACAACAACAAACCTAGAGGCAGGGGCTGCCGGCGGCCCGGCGGAGCGCTGCACGGTCGCGGCCCAGGCCTCCGGCTGGCGGTCAGGGAGCTGCTGCGGACAGGAGCCCGGGGACAGGCGCGCACCCTGCACCAGCAGCACCTGAGGGCCCTGTGCTTCTGTCCCAACAACACGCGCCACACGAGCTCGCTTCTCGGCCTCATAGTTAAGCGAGTGAGATGTCGGGGGCCCCTCCACGCCGTCGCCTGGCCTGGGCGTCTCTCGGGAAGACGGCAGCCCCGATGCACTCTCTCACCTTCCGCAGGTCTGCCCGCCCTTTCTACTTCTCCCGGGGGCATTTCGGTCCCTCACGCCTCCCAGGAGTTCGCCCCCTTTGCCCGAGCTGCCTGCGTCCCACCGAGACGCTCTCACTCGGCTGTGCCGCGAGTGACGGCGGGCGCTGCCGTCTGGATGCTCTTCCTCCCGGTAATGCTGCCGGGTGCGCTCCCTGCAGCCTGGGGCTCCTTTGTTAGGTGCGTGTTCATCCGAATTGTCACACCTTCCTGCCCAGCGAACGCTGGTGCCATTACGCAGCGCCCGGCCAGCAGGGCCGCTGGAGCTCCGGGAGTTGCCTGTGGATGGTTTCTCATCCATCTTTTTATTCTCAGTCTCTCTGAGTCTTTTGGTCCAGGGCACCTCCTGTGTGCCCCCTGGAACCTCCCCCCCCCAGCCGAGCCATCTGCAAATGAGGTTTGTCCCTGGTAAATGGAGGGGCCCGGCCAACCTCGCTGCCCCCGGAGAGCAACGTGAAGCTCTTACCTTCCTCCTCGAGTCCTTGTCTTTCCCACTGCTCCTCACTCCACTCTCTGCATGCCTGGAAAGAAAATACGGGCAAAACCAAAATTAATTTTAGATAAAGACTTAAAAAACAAAACATTATACGTGTCCGTGAAGACTCATCAGTGTCTGACAGGTTAAGAACCACTGTGAGTTGGCAAATTCCGAGAGCGCTTTACTGGAGCTGTGAGCAGTATGTCTTCCTGGTCCTTCCACTATTTCACAGGAATCCAGGACACAAAATACCTTCGGTGGGGAGAAGAAACTACCCTTTAACAAACTTGGGTGTGAGTCCACATCTCTCTAAGAGCTAGAAAATTCCTTGAATTCTTCTTTCTATCCCAAATGTTATTTTATGCTTAGTATAATATTTGTATTTCCAAAAGAAAGACTTATCTTAAAATGTTCTATTTTTTAGTCACATGCTATATGTTGGTTGGGACCTATAATTAAAGTTCTCAAGATTTCCAGCTGCTTCTCAGCTGTCGGGACCCACAGGCACAGCCATTCAGTGCGGCCTGTGGTCAGAGACGCAGGGCTGGCTGGGCTTCCGGTGCCGCGCCCCCCGCCCCACCCCCAGCAGATCGGCAAAGGCCAGGAGCCGTCCCCGCCCCCGGGGGTCAGCTCAAACTTGTAAGAATTCAAGCAGGGCACTTAGTCTGCATTCTCCTAATTAGTGGAAAAGAATGACCTCATGTGGCTGCTATAAAGAACAAATTAAAATCTAGAGCCTATGAACAACATGGTTTCTACGCCAACTCTACTCTGAACCTTCCCAGCGCCCACACAAGGCAGACCCTGTTGCTGTGAAGACAGGCCCTGAGGCGCCCCGCACCCAGAGGCAGACAGGCCGTCCCCGCAGGCTGGTGCCTGTGCCCTGGCTCTCATTGCCGCGGGGAGACCCCCGCGCCCTGCAGGCCTCGGTCGAGGGCGTGCGGGCGAGCTGCGTGTCGCCGGGCTGGCCCGCGGAGGGGCCGCTTTCCAAACGAGTCGCTCCCCCAAAGTGAGGTCTGATTTTCTAATCTTGCAGGAGCAAATATGAACAAGGCAAGACTGGACCGGCACTCGACAGCAGGTTCCCAGCTCCTCTAGGGCACCTGGAACGCAGTTTGCCAGGGCTGCAGGGAGCGTCCGGGAGGGAGAGCTGCCACTCATTGCCATTTACTGGCGATAATTGGGCCCCATAAAAATCAGTTTAAAGCATTCTACGTGCTACACACAGTCACCAACCGAAGCACGCGTATCCCTTACTGGCCGCTAGTCCCGTCTCTCTTTGAACTTCCACCTTGGCTTCTGTGCTCGCTGTTCTGTAAAAATAAATAAATAAATAAATAAAATAAAAAAAAATTCCACAACCATTAATCAATAAATCGTAATGAGTGAACCGTAATTACTAAACTCTGTAAAACAAGCATGGACTCAAAATTTAACCATAGCAGCCACGCCAGAGCATCTCCTGAGGTAGCTGCTGTTACGAGTCACCTTTAGTGGCTGAGGTGACTACGGAAGGGGCGTGAGTGAGGGCATACGCGCTGGAAGGCGGCCCCGTTTCAGCTCATCCGTTTCACCTTCTTCAGGGTAAGGAGGACGAGGTCCTTACCCTGCTTAAAATTAAAGTTTCAAACGTGTGGAACGTGGCCCTTCCACAGATCTATGCACCTGTAGAAAAAAAACTTAACCTTCTCCTACATTAACGAATCTAGGACATTAACAATCTAAAAAGCATTAGATTGTGCCGGTGGACGCGTATACGTGGGTCGAGGAGGTGCTGGCCGGAAGCGCACGCGGGGGCCGCTGCTGACCGACCAGGAGGGCGCCGCCCTCAAGGCACAGCAGGTCGCAGGCCTGGCGCGCGCCGCCAGGAAGGGCCAGGCCGGAGGGCAGTGCACAGAGTGCACCCAAAGCCCTGACGCACGCTACCTTCCTTTGACCTACAAATTCACTTCTAAGAGATTATTTCTAGAAAACAATGAAAGACATGTGTTAAGATTTTACTCTGTTCATCAGATAATTAATAATATCCAAAAAATCAGTGACCTGGATGTCCAGTATTTGGTTGCTTAGTAAGTAACCAAGGTTATGACCACACAGTAGAATACCAGACGGCTGTGAAGGTACCTGCATCAAAAAGCACTTCTCAGAGTCAGAAGGAGACAACAGCTTGGTTCTGAGGCTGCACGCCAGGGAGGCCGCGCATGGACAGGAAGGGGCTGCAGGCGTGAGCACACGCGCCGCACAGGGGGTCGTCTCTGAGTCCAGGGCCACAGGCAACTGTGCTCTTCCTGTGCGTGGGAATCTTTTTTAAAAGTTTAACTGCACACGCAACGGGAGGAACGGTCTGGCATCACCTGTAAAACCGGTGGGCGGGGACCAAGAATGGACTCAGCGGTGCTGGCAGGAGAGACAACAGCCCCCTCGCTGTGCAGCCCGCGCCCTGGTGCCTGGAGTGCGGCAGGGGACGCGTCCAGCGAGGGCTGGCAATGGCACAGGGCTTCCCCACACCCAGCTCCGGGCGCGTGGGGAGCCGGAGCCTGAGCTCAGGGCCTTGCTTCCAGGTCGTGTGGACGGGGGAGCATCCAGGGCCGGATGCAGATGCTCACGGAGGCAAGTGACACAGCCCCCCCAGGGGCAGAGGGGGCAGGACCCCACAGTCAGCAGAGGCGGGAGGTCGTTGGTGCTTCTGCTGAGGCCGTCCCTACGGCTCGGTGCCGCCAGAGACTCTGCCAACTCATGCCCTGGCTCTCTGATTGGAAGCGGGAGGAGGCGCGGTGGGAGACACACAGCCAGCATCGCGGCTGGGTGAGCGGCGGCCCAGGCCGGCAGCGGGGGCTGCCCTGCCCCCCACCTGCTTCCTGGCAGGAGGCGACTGCAGTTCACGGTGCCCTTGGCGACAACTCTGCCAACCACCGGACTAGCTCACCAGCTCAGCAGCAAAGCATATTTGCAGGACCTGGAAGTCACTGCCAAGACCAACGTTCACTGTAAAATGCTCGCCAGTCACTCCTGATGTGACGTTACATCCTCTTTGGTTCATTTCTCCATCGCATGGCTTCTCCCACAAAACAGAAGCGCCACGGAAATTAGAACCTCCGTTTACTCACAGCTGTGTCCTCAGCATCTACAACAGTGGCCGCTCATAAACATGAACAAATCGTCTAAAAGGGGAGTTTGCGAGCCATCGAAAGAGTTTCCTGGGGCGAACGCAGGCCCACGTTTGCTGAGGAAGGTCAGGGGACGAGCAGGGCCCTCCAAGGCCCTCACCCCGACCCCGGGGACGCTCTGCGTTGTGTTGGGGGCACCACCGCCCGGAGACAGGGGCATGGAGTGCGGGAGAGCCACATGGCCAACGGCGTGTGTGCGAAACAGACCATGCTCAAGGGAATGCGGGAAAACATGAAGCAATTACAATAGTTATTTTAACATACGTGGGAGGAAAACTGGACCCTTTGCGATCAGTAGTTCTTTGTGTGTGTGTGTTCTGTTCTGTTTTCTTGGCAAACACAGACTACCAATTCTCCCTGAAACATTTTCTACATTATTCACTTCATTTCCCCTTTAAAATGACCACTTTCCTCTTTATCATGAAATTTTACGATAGGTTTCTGAACGCGTGCTCAGCACGTTTCCTAGGTCCGAGGTCAGGGATCTCTATGTATGGTGCTGACCATACGGCTCGCGGGGCGGTGCCCCCGGCCCCAGGCCCGCCGCCCGGCCCACTCCCTCCCAGCGACGCCCGCTCTGGGGCGGCCGGCACGTACCCTGGGCGCCCTCCTCCCGGGCTCTCCCTTCGACGGCCCCTCTGTTCCGTCCGCGCTGCTGTGGTGCCCGTCGTCCCTGAGGCGAAAGGCTTCTTTACGGCGCTTCCCTTTGTGTCCTTCGTCCCCTTCCTTTTCGGAGAGCAAACTGCTTTTTTCTTTTGAATACTTCTCCCTTTTCTCCCTGGTGCTGCTTTTTTCTCGATGCTTCTTCCCTCGCTCGGGCTCTCTGTGCTTCCTGTGCCTCCTTCCCTCCTCCTCTTTATAGAGCCAGTACTTCAGGGGGTTGTCCTTGCTGTCGCCGTACTGCAGCTGCGAAGGGACACAGCGGAAGGTGTGTGCGCGACAGAACGTGCGCCCCCAGGGCAGGTGGGTGCTCGGGGACCCCCTGTCCCCGCAGGAGCTGGCGGCTGCTGCTGTGCAGGCCAGGCGGTCGGCGCGTGGCGCGCGGGCTCCCACCCCCGGCTCGCGGAGCAGCACGGACACTCCTCCGCGGAGCCCGAAGCGGAGCCTCCACGCACAGCGAGCCGAGCTCCCGGGCCACTGTGCCCCGGGCACGGGTTCGGACCACACGGCCCCCCGTGCCCACCCCTCCCACGCACCCCGACTGTCCCCCGCCCCCACCTGCTCGTCTCTGCAGGGGGCCCCTCCCAAGAAAGCCCACTGACAAGCCCCCAACCAAGCCCCTCGGTTTAGCCCACCGCATGCCCGCCACCAGCATAAATTCAACAGGGGTTAAAGATTTAAGTCCTAAAAAATTTGAGGACCCAGAACAAACAGGGGTGACTAAACATAGGTATGAAGGGGCTCTACACCCCAGTCACTTCATAATTCTAAACTTATTAAAATGTAGAGATTCCACAGGCAAAATTCAAAACACACAGAGATGCCCTGAGCAGTGTGACTTAGTGGGCCGGTCACCCCTGGTCAGGGCGTGTACGAGAGGCAACCAATTGATAGTTCTGTCTCACACTGATATTTCTCCCCTTCTTTCTCCCTGCCTTCCCTGCTCTCTAAAAACAAATAAATAAAATCTGGAAACACCCCGCCCCCCCCCCCCCCCCCCAGAGCAGTGAGACAATGACGAGCAGAGTTCACCTTTAAAGTCCCGTTCAGTGACAGACTCCGCCAGAAAGGGCGCGAAGGCACGCAGGCAAGGGCAGTGCTGGCCATGTCAGGCGCCCGAGCACAGAAGGCCATGCCTGCCTGGTGTCTGCACACACCCCACCGGCCTGTCCTCCCAAGTCACGCTGCCGCCGCCCGGGACAGGCTGCTGAGGCCCGGAACGGCGCCCCAGGGACAAAAGGAACTCTGGCCTCTAGGCGAGGGGGCCGTCAGCAGTCGCTGTGATGCAGCTCGCTCCCGCCCGGGAGTGCGCTAGGGAGCACGCGCAGAGTTCACCCCCGGGTGTCTCCCCGGGCCTGGGGTCTCTGTTACGAAATTTCCACAGCACCTCTGATAACAACACGCCACCTGCCCTGCGGTGTTTGGGGCCCGGTCAGCGTACCTTCCTTTCCCGGTACCTTCTTTCTCTCTCTTCGTCTCTTTCCGAGTCCTCGCCTCTCCTCTCCTTCTCTTCAGTCCTTGCTTTACTCACTACAAAAAGAAAACACACTTGTAAAATTCCCAAACTTCAGACATCAAACCGGTCTCCTAACGCCTTGCCGCAATATTTACTGCACACTACATTCCAAAATTATGTATTAACACATGAAAACACGTTCTTCAATTAGAAAACATTCTACAGTCTCGGAAATGGAAAGGTCTAGAATCGAAACTAAAGATGGACTAAAGGACATGACAGTGGCAACCGCTGCCAAGGCAACCGACCAAAGCAAAACTAACTGCTGGACACTCAGAGGCACCAGCCAAACCAATGCACCTTGGGGTCCCCGTGTCCCCGACAGGTGCTCAGGTCCAGAAATATGGGCCCGTCGGGCAGAGGTTTCCAAGGGCTCAGATGCAAGGGAGTCAATGCCTCCTTCAGATGAGCGGGGGACCCCGCTGCTTGAAGGCGCTGTGGAGGCAGGGGGCTCTGTGACGAGGACGCCACCTGCAGCCCGCGGCTGCCACCCATCCCCACCGACCGCTGGGCAGCGAGGCCCCAGGGACCGGCAGAGCCCCACGGAATCACTGACGACACACCAGACTTTCAGTCTGGAATCCGCACAGGCAAGAGTCATTAGTCTTAAAAATGAAAAGAACCGCCATTTTACAAGATGAAGACTGTGTTAAACATTCAGAAACAGGGAAACAAAGTTCGTTCATTCAAAAGGCATTCGCTGAGCACTGGCCACTCGCCTAGGAGCCTGAGGTCCGAGATCAAACCATGGGCCGAGGCTTCCCCAGACACACGCCGGAGGGGAGCCGGAGAGGAGGGCGGGAGGGCCCGGCCCCCGCAGACGGCAGAACAACCCGGGCCGGGGAGCACCCCGGGCGGTCCGGCCCGAGGCCCGAGGGTGCCGATGCCCGCGGGCCAGGCTGCGGGGGCAGCCGTCGCAGGGCTGTCGAAGTTCAACGTAGGGCGCGCAGCGTTGGCCGCGCGTGTCGGGCATCAGGTGCAGGAGGGCACGCGGGCCCGCTGCTCAGGGACAAGGCCCAGCCGGGGACCGACCCCTGGAAATCAGGAGCACGCGCTGGTCTTTATGGCCATGAGGCTGGACGCCATCACCTCGCTGACCCGTGAGCCTACCCCTCACGGCACCACACCCGGCAGAGACACACCCGACGTCCCTGGAGCCTCGCCTGCGGGGGCAGGCGCACAGGCAGGCGCAGGGCCTCGGCGCAGGGGACGGCCCTCATCCACAGCCAGGCCCTGGGCCTCCCAGATGGTCCTAAGAGCAACCACACACCCTTCTATGCTTTCCTTTTATGTTTACGTTGGCCAGTTGCATATTTATAAGAAGTGTGTACTATTTGCATAATAAAAAGTAGTGAAGACACTTCCATGGGGGTGAGGGGAGGCACTTTTCCCTTAGAATTCCTAGGAATCCAGACAAATAATTAAATATTGCTTAAAATAAAACTGATACTTCTGAGAAATTCTTTTATCAAAAAGCATAAATTTTACCGACAATGTAGATTGAGATTTATTGGGATAATTAATCTGAAATGAGTGTCCATAGTAACACTCCAGCAGATGATGAGAAAACTGTTATTCTTCTCACTCACTGAGATGAGTTTTAAAATACGGAAGAGGGAACCACCTTGCCCAGCGGACAGTTCAGCCAGCGCACAACTCACTGCAAAGCTGTGCCACCTGAAAACCAAGGGAGAGGGCGGCGTGGGGAGCGAGTGCTTCAGAGGAGGGCGCCCCACACGACAGGCCGCGGGAGGGGAACCGCACAGCCCCGGACACGCACCTGACCGCCTCCTGTGTGTGGGCAGGTCGGGGGGCGGCCTCCGCGGGTCCAGGCCCAGCAGGTTGTGGTGTGTGGTGGCCGATCTGGGCTCCTCCGACCGCGCGTGGTGCTCCTGGTCCCTCTCCCGGTCCCTCTCCCTCTCCCGGTCTTTGCCACGGCTCTGGTGCTTCTCCACGTCCTGCTCTCGGGCTCTGTCCTTCAGCTTCTCTCTGTCCCAGTCCCGGGCACCCCGGCTCCGCTCCCGCAGCTTCTCCTTGTCTCTGTCCCCACGGGGAGGCTCTCTGGAGCTGTGGCCACCTCTGTCCGCCACCCTTTCCCGGTGCTTGGCCTCCCGGTCTGTGTCCCTGGGCTTTTGCTCCTTGAACTCCAGGGCGTCTGCGTCCGAGTCCTTATGCAACTTCTTCTCCTTGTGTTTTTTATCTTCTCTGGGAGTACCTGGCTGTGCAGCCTAGAACAACAGAAAGGAAGAGGTTTCTAAACGCTCAGTAAAGGGCCTTAGAAACCGCTGGCTGCCTCTGATTTCCCCCAAGCAGGACGGGCAGGCGTCTCCGCACCCCAGCGGGTGAGTCCAACATTACTCTGGGTGGAGACCAGAGCCCTCTTACAAGACGCGCTCACGTTCGTTGTCAAGTTAAACCTAAAACACTATATGGGTTAGAAAGAAAAGGAACAGATACTGAAGCTGTGTCACAGTCCCCGAGGCACGGCCCACCTGGGTCTCACTCAAGGAGCGAGGATCCTTCTTATAAAACTCTCTGGGGGTCTCTCTCTCAACCCCTGAGCCTCCCTCTACGTACACAGACACATGCATGCAACACACACACCACACATGCACACACACAGCCTGGGCTGTGAGCCAGGACCGGAACTGGAGGGCTGGTGAGACGCTGGCTGGGCTAGGAAACCCTTCCCCCTCACGGACCCAGAGCTACTAACCACGTGGCTTGACCTGTAAGTCAAAAACGCCCCTGAAAAAGTCAAACAACAACAAAAGTAACAACAAAAATGCCCCTGAAATGAGCCACGTGGAAGCGAAGTTGTGCAGGGCTGAGAGCCAGGAAAACCTTTCCAATCCAACGGGGCCCCGGCTCAGATCTTTGAAATACGTTACCCAAAGGTGTTTTCTGAGGTCGTCTGCTTTCCACGTGTCATCCTGGGTTCTTCTCTAGAAAGAAAAGTATGAAGTTAGAAGTTTCCAAATTTATTTATTTATTTATTTATTTTTGCATTAGCTTTTTAGCAGCTATGTAACACCACAGCTTCATATTAGGTTTGAGGCCAAGTAAATCCCATAGGTCATTTTCCCATCAACTGCTCGGCTTATGCAATGAATTTCACAGAATTTTATAGTGCAGGAATTTACATACCTGCCCCCTACTGGTTCTGTGATGCTTCTAAAAGTTTTTTGACCTCTTGGAGTCCCAATGTATTCTTAATCATATAATTCTTACCATGTGCCGGACACACAGCCCCCGTCGGTGGTTCATATTTCACCCTCACAACGACCGCGTGAGTTAGAATCATTATCACCACGCCCCCTGTTACAGCGCGGGAAACAGAGACACTGAGAAGGTCAAGTGCACTCCCTCAATCAGCGTATCACACTGTCCTTCTCAAATGGTTTGGGGTGATTCAATAATATACATGGTGTGCTTCATTTTTTCATCCCTGGTCCTTTAGCCAGCACGTTCATTTTAACGATGATGTGTCTTAGTGTAGGGCTCTTTGGGGCCATCTTGCCTGGGGCTCTCGGTGAGGCCTGAACTTGTGTGTCTTCTTCCTCCACCAGATTAGGGAAGTGTTCGGTCTTTAGCTCTTCAAATAGGTTCTCAATCCCTTGCTCACTCTCCTTCTGGTGTTCCCATGAGGCAGACGGTGCTGCACTTCATATTGTTCCAAAAGTTCTGTAGGCTCTCATGTTTTTAAATTCTATGTTTTTTATTTTTTTAATTATTATTTTTTAAATTTATTTTCTTTATTTTTTCAAATACATTTGTCTCTGCCTTCCCACCCCCTACCTTTCCCCTAATTTTCCCCTAATAAAAAAATACCCAATTTTGCAAGCTCCAGGAAGCTGCTTTTCATTAGGCCATTTTAAAAAAAAGATTTTATTTACTTACCTATTTTTAGAGACAGGAAAGGAGGAAGAAAAAGATGGAGAGAAACATCAATGTTTCTCATCATTGATGTTCAACATCAATGGTGTGTCTCACGCGCCCCCTCCTGGGGACCTGGCCCACAACCCAGGCGGTGCCCCGAGTGGAAAGGGAACTGATTGATGATCCCTCCGTTTGCAGGCTGGTTCTCAGTCCACTGAGCCACACCAGCCAGGGCCCACTAGGACATTTTAATCAGTGACAATCAGTCCTTACTACACAAGAAATTACTGTCTATCTACCAGAATAAAAGGTAATAGAAATACAGATTTTAAAAAATTATCCACTGGCCTAACATTACATATAAATGATTGCAGAATGTGTTCCTTGGGCTGCCTCACAATGGAAAAGCCCGCGCTGCCTCAAGGCTCAGGCGAAGCATAGGACACGCAGCCCTCGCCTTCCCCCAGCCGCTCTCCGCCTCTCGGCGCCCATCCCCTGATGCTCAGAACACTTCCTTTGATGAATCCGGCACTTCATTCATAAATAGGAGAGGTCAGTCAGGCATTTGAGAAAAGCCAGCATAAGAAAGAAAGAATCAAGATAAAAAAAAATGACCCCCAAAATAAAGAGAAATCTTTATTTTTAAGAAGTCATAAAAGTTATAGCCTCGGAAAGATTTTAAAAATATCATAAGCACAACTTAAAACATATGTTACAAAAAGGAGCAGTATGAGCACAAGAATTGTTCATATTAAAATTAGCAACATAAAACTTTTAAGTAGACGAAGCTAACGATACAGCTGGAGAAATCTCCCAGAATATATACACATTAAAAGAGAGAGACAGAGAGATGGAAAATGTAAGCGGCCAGTCCAACAGCGAACGGGAGACTGAATCAGAGTTCCAGAAAGTAGAAAGAGGGAAACAAAAAACGAGAAAACGTCCTCGGAGTGAAGGTGGGCGCGAGCATCAAACGTCGACAATCACGACGTCACTTCCCAGTCCCAGAACTTAGGCGGGCAGTGAACACTGCTCATGAGATCACATTACAGTGTTTGGTTTTCAGCTTTAAAAATCACGGAAAACTTCGGCTACGCGAGCCCTTCCGAACCGAACCGGGACGGAAAAAGATCGAAGAGGGCAGGTCAGGGCGTTTGCGGCCGTAAGTGCAGGGTAGGAGGCGGTAAACCGTGCACTGGCTTTGCCACCGCACACACGGACCCCTGCCCGTCCGAGTCCCGGGGGTCAGCAGTAACAGGAGGCCTCGACCTCTGACCTCTGCGCGTCGCGGACGGGAGTCCGGTTCGGGCCTGGGGCTGTCCGGTGCCTGAACACCGTGGGACCGGACCAATTAACCAAGTTCCACAAACTTCCCAGAGATTCCGCCCCGAACCCGGGACAGCGCGCAGCCTTTGTACACCCACCTTCCCGGGCTCCATCGCCGCTCGCAGGCCCCGGAGGCCACGTTGCGCTACGCGCTACCCAGGCGCGGTCCCGGTAGGAAAGGCCCGCCGACTTGAATCCTCCGCTCGGCTGGCGTCGCCGACTCCTAGCAACCGGCAGGCTGAGGCAGCGGAGAGCCGAGCTACCGCTGGCCCGGCATGCCCCTCGGCCTGCCCCAGCGCGCCTGCGTGTCCCGGACTCCTAGCAACCGGCAGGCGCGAGCGTCCGAGAGCCGAGTTACGGCTGGCCCGGCATGCCTTGCGGCCACCTACAGCGCGTCTGCGCGTTCCCGACTCCTAGCAACGGCAGGCACGAGCAGCGGAGGGCCGAGCGATCGCTGGCCTGGAACTCCAGGGGGGTCGAAAGGGAGGGGCCGCGGAAGGCAGTTGGCCACGCCGGTGTCTGCCGCACTGCCCATTTCCTGGTGGTGCAACTCTCCATGCGGGAACGAGGCTGGGCTGACCCCGCTGTGGGGCCGGCAAGAGTGGAGCTAAGAGGAAAATGAGACACGGCTGCGGCTTAACCGGCTCCACTTAGCCTGGTGGCACCTGTACCTAGCTCACGGGAAGACGGCGTCTCCAGACCTCGCAGATTCACCGTCGGAATTCACCTGGAAAAGGCTTCTCTGCATAGGGCTTTGCACTTTACCGATCATTTCCCGTATGCCGTCATCTGATAAAAAAACGCACCCTTTAAGAATGGTAGGAATCAATACATTCGAAAAAGTAGTTGTTGGAAGGATGACTTTATGCAACACCAGAAACGAGAGCTCAATCGTGAACACAAAACGTACTGCCTCTCAGTTGTATTTTATCTCGTGCAGGACGGAGCGCTGCCGGTCCCATTCCCGTGAGGCCCCTAGTAACTCACTCAGCTGTTTCCAAAGGCTTTTGCATTTGTTTAGTGTGCAAATGATACTTAGAAAAGATTACACACTTAATGTTTTCACACACCCACAAAGAAAACTCTTAAATCGTTAAGCAATGCATCAGTGAGCATGTAACTAATAGTATGTGATTTTGATATCATGGTTTTCCTGTAGATACAAAATGCATGTTTCAGACATGCTATTATGAACCATTTTACAGTTTTATGGAACCATCTACACGTTCCAGATACAAAGGCCATTTACTCAGCTCCATGTTGTAGAGAAATTAACAGATCCAGTAAGGCTTTTATATTTAATTACACTCTGGTTTTGAACATATCGCTCCAACCTTTTCCATTTCCACTCATCAGCACTTAGGAAAAACATAAAAGGTAGGTAGGAAAGGTATTATCAGTGATAGCTATGGTTTATGTAGGGACTGCTCCAAATGAGGCATTCAGTTAAATCTCCACTTGGAAATACTTAATTCTGAAGGCATCCCACGTAGGGTAGGCATGTTACAGTTTTTCAGACTAGGAGACCGAGGACCAGAAAGGTTAATTTGCTTGCCTGAGGTTGCACAGCTAAGGCAGTGGATGATCTGATGCCAAGTCATCCTCTTAAACCACTGTGTCATTCTGTCAACTGAGAAAGCAGCTGATCCTGACAGTCATCCACAGGCACACTGCATGCATGACCCTTCTCCCTTGCCTCCCAAGTGCAATCACTGACCTCCGTCAAGATAATTAAGATAATTACGTCTTGGCTATACTTTTTCACTCCAGCCCTAGCAATCCATCCTGCACTGCAGCCAGTCTTCTAGCACATGAATCTAATGTCACTCCCTGCTTCTCTCATCTTCAAACAATAATTTAAAGTCGCCCAAATGCACCATATTCACAGACTTGCAAATGCTGTTTCCTCTTTCTCACTATTCCCCCCATACCTGCCGAATAAATGACTATATAGGAAGCTAAAAACAATCTCTCCTTAGACTTCTTAAAATGATTATTTTATGAATAATTCACTTGTCAATCAATTACATTGTATCTTGTAATATATTTAGATGAGTTACTGAGTTAATTTGATGATGTGGGCACTATAGCATGCTAGAGATAGAAAGCTAAAACACAGTCTACACCTCCAGGAGCTCGTAATTGCTAGGAGAAAGAAATATGCGGACAACTGTTAAATGACCTGAAAGAGAGACAGAGCTGCCCTCACTGCTACAACAAAGCCTCTGTCGAGGTGTTGGGGATGCAGCTGGGACAGGGAAGAGGTGGAGGGGGTGGACGGGGCAGTTGATAAGGTTCAGAGTCAGGCAGGAGGGGATCTGAAACAAAGCAGAAGGGACTGAACTTAAACAGAAGACAGCACTTTTCTGCAAAGCCCAAAAGGATGAGAGCAGAGGCTGCAACTTCAGCTTTGTTCTAGAAAACACACAATGATGCCCTTCTTTCCTCTGAGAAAGTGGAGCCTTTTATTGGAGAATTGTCTGCACAGAAGGAAAGAAAAGAGGTAACGTGAAGAGGTCACAGGAGATTGAGGAGTGTAAGGAATAAAACACCAGGGAGAACTGAAGAACTGAGCTGGGCCTGTTTTTCGACTTGCGGCAGAGATGTGTCCTGCCTTGCTGGCGTGATCAAACACTGGGAGGTGGGCTCACACAGGCAGCTAAAGCCAGGAGGCCGATTCGTGGGTGCTGTGGCCACTGCTCCTCAACGTGCTTTCCATCCCTCAGCCCACAGGTCAGATACTTGATCGCTGGCTTTCTTATGTGGCTTGTGTTCACACAGTCTTTATCTACAGGGTGGGATTCTGCACTTCTTTAGGGAAAGGCTCATGCTCCTTCCTGTGTTAACAAGCAGTTGCTGTGAGGCTGTAACTTGAGGTCATGAGTGGAGGGTGGCATCTAAGCAGTAAGCTGTTGCAGGGAGAGGGTCGAGACTCACCATTTTACAGGGGTGAGCAGATGGAGGTTGTTCATATGGAAAATAGTAATAAAACAAACTTTTGCATACTCGAAACTGTAAACCCACTTTTGTCCAAGCCCTGTATGTACAGCTTATATAATGTAATTTGGTAAACAACAAGAAAGACAAAACCACTTCCTTTGAGATTTAGTGCCCTCCACCGAATTTAGAAGTTGAGTGTTCTAAACTCTAGGTTTTTGAGATGTTTCCATAGCAATGCATACATCTGCATACACAATCACATACAGACTCACAGATGAGGGGAGAAGTATGTGTATTCACTCAGTACCTGTTGTGCCGGGCACAGTGTCCGCCTAAGAACATGCAGGTAAACATAATATGATTCTTGCCCTCAAGGAACTTAGAGCCCAGTGGAATTACTGGAGAGTTTGGCAAAATTACCAATGCATGCAAACACTTCCCTTGCCCCCACGTCAATGTGTGTTAAGTCTGATCCCTCCAGTCTAACAGGGCTGGTTGCAGCTTAGTCTTTGGTTGGCTGTCCTCTTCATCTCACCCAGCAAATGGTGCACGAGACATCGGTTTTGTCCCGAAGACGCCAGGCTTCGTCCCTGCTGCGACTGCAGTATGGAAGGGAAGAGCACGTCAATCAAGACCTTAAAAACAGAAGCCTGCAGTATTTCTCTCCTGTAGTCCCTGCCCTTCCTAAAGGTGGTAATTCAACGCTACCAGTAGCAAAATTTGAAGGGGAATGGGGTCTAGCCCTATCGATATAAATTCAATAAAAATTTCCTCGGAAAACATTGAATATGCTGAAAAAGAAAAGTTAACTAGGAATTACTGATGTGAGTTTCCTGGATCAGGGCTGTTGTGCATCTCAGAAATCACAGGCACGGTCTAAGCCAGTCCTCTCAGTACCGAGTGGGCCAGGACTGGCCGGGACGTGAATATCTTTCGGAGAAGCGGAGCACATCGTGCCCAGAGTCGTTTCGGACACGTTCTCTGCGCCGAAATTTTGCATTTTACACACACGTAAAGGACCCAGACAGTTGCTTATCTCATCTCTAAGGTAGCTGCGATTTCCAAAGCTAAACACACCTTCACGTGGCACCGCCAGAGCTTTATGGCGCTGCGCTACCATCCACTCAGGAGCGTGTTTGGTTTGGTTTTTGGTGTTTAACTTATTGAAAGCATATGAAACAGCAACTTCCCAAACCCGGCGAATGTTTGCAACAGGCAGGAGCGCGTGCTTCTCCTTCTATACCAACCCTCCGGGAGTCGCACCTCCGGCCGGATCCACCCCGACGGCCACTGGCCAGTGACTGAGCTACCCCAACGGCCGCCGCTGCTCAGCAGGCAGGTCAGAAGAGGCCGCTGCCACGCCTCCCGCCCTTCCCGACCTCTTGCCCAGCGGGCCGCCGCCCGGGCTCCCAGCGAAGCCCCGCGCAGGCCCCGCCCACCTCCAGAGGCTGGCCCGCTCCCTCCGCGGGAGGACGGAGCGGGCCAGCCCCGCCTGCACTTCGAGTAGGAGCCCAAGACCGCGCCCCGCAGCGCCAGAAACACCCATTCAGCCCCGCCCAAGGACACCCACGCCGACCCCGCCCACTCCCGGCTCCGCCTGCGCCACGCCCACCCGGCGCGTGGCGTCACACACCAGCCCCGCCCACCCCCAGGAGTGACGTGTCCCGAGCTCCGGACCGCACCCGGCTGCTCCAGCCGGCCGCCCAGCCCCTCGCAGTGAGGTAAAACAAGGCCCCGCCCACTCTCGCCTCAGCCTGCGCCACGCCCAGTCCGCGCGACGGCGTCACACACCAGTCACGCCCACCCCAAACTCTGGCGGCGCCAAGACGGCTCCGGCCCGCGGCACCGCCCCGCCCGCCCTGCGCACTGACGTCGCACGCCGCCCGCGGGCGGAAGCGCGGGCGGGCTCTAGCAGAAGCAGCGCCGTCTCCTCAGAGGGGCGCTGGAGCGCGGGCTGAAGCGCCTCGGCCGAACGGGAGGCGCTCGCAGCGCCGCTGAGCAGCTGGCGATGGGCGACGCCGGGGCCCCGGGCCCGGAGGCTGCTGCTGCGCGGGCCGAGCCGGCCGGCGTGGCGCTGAGCGTGGACGTGGCGGGGCTGTTGGCGCAGCTGGCGCGCAGCTTCGTGCTGCTGTTGCCGGTGTACGCGCTCGGCTACCTGGGCCTGAGCTTCAGCTGGGTGCTGCTGGCGCTCGCGCTGCTGGTGTGGTGCCGGCGGAGCCGCGGCCTCAAGGCCACTCGGCTGTGCCGCGCCCTGGCGCTGCTGGAGGACGAGGAGCGCGCGGTGCGCCTGGCGGTGCGCGCCTGCGACCTGCCCGCTTGGGTGAGTGCGGGCGCGGCCCCGCCCCGGACCCCGCGTTCCTGCCCCGGCCCCGCCCCGAACCCCGACCCCGCTCCCACCGACATGTGTGCCCGCGTCGCGGTGGGCGCCGGCGACCTGCCGGCCTGCGTGAGCGCGGGACGCGAGCCCCTCCCCGGACCCAGATCCAAACCCCGCTTACCGGCCGGGGCCAGGGTGTGCACCGCCCTGCCCCCACTGCGCTTACCTGTCCGGTCAGGTGTGCGGCTCGCTCCGCGACGTACCCCCACTCTGCCCGGCTCTGGTGTCCGCCCCGCCCCTCCCTGCCTACCTGTCCAGGTCGCGCGTCTGCGCCGCTGTCTCCCCGCCCGCCCACCCTAGTGCGGTGACCTGACCGCCGCCAGCCTCCCCGGGACCCGCCGGGCCGGGCGCGGCGTCGGGTCCGGATCTCCGCCGGCGTGCCCCGCTCGCCTACGCCCGTGTCCTCGCCCCTGCGCGCGGCCCGCCGGGCCCCTGGGGCCCCACGTCCGCGTCGCCTGGCTTTGAGCAGCTCCCGCACGAAGCACCTTCCCTCTCCTTCCTCCCGCTGCCGCCCCGTCGCAGCCCCTCGGCGGCGGCCCGCGGCGGGGACCGGGTCCTGCCCGCGGTGGCCGGGGGGCCGGCGGCGCGGACTTCCCCGGGAGACTGGGTCGCTTCTGACACCGCTGGGGAGCCGCGAGGGTCCCCTCGAAGGTGCCGATGCGAAGCTGATGGAAAGTTTGGTGTCCCGCAGGTACCCGGTAAGGCCGCCCTGCTGTGTAGGGTGAGCAGGACGCAGGGTGATGGGCGGAGGTTTGGGGCGTTGCGCTGACGGGAGGGGTGAGGGTATCGACCGTTCTATCTTTGCCGCGGGCGGTTTTCTGCGGCGGTTACTTAGGCCGAAGGGAAGCCGGCGGGCTCGGCCGCCGCCTCCGGCTGTGGCTCCCTCGGGCGTCCTTAGCCGGGAGCTGCTGTCACCGGTCCAGAGTCAGAGGAAATAGGTTTTTTCACGTCGGGCTTGGTGTGGCAAGGGCCGCCCCCTCCTCCTCCCCGCCGGCGGAGCGAGGGCGTGACGGGCGGGCGGACGGACCGGAGCCCAGCGTCCCGGGCCTCCCGGGTGGAAGCCGTCAGCTCCCCGTGGGCGGGGGCCATAGGGTCGCAGAACCGAGTCCCGGGGGGCAGGGGGGCGGTGTAGGACCCGGGAAACCGGAGTCCCCGGTGGGGCAGTCGAGAGCGCAGAGGCCCTTTGGAAATGCAGAAGGGCTTGCAGGTGGCATCTTGTGTCTGTGTCACCCCGAGTTAAATGATGCCAGAGAGTAGCTCAAGTCAGAGAGTGGGTGAATCGCCGCCGCCGCCGGCACAGTCAGGGCCGAAGTTCCGGAACCGACGGTGTTGGCTTTCGTAGGTGTTGGGTTCTGGAGCTGATGGCTAGTGTCGAGGTGCAGGTGGAAAATCCCTGTGAGCCCCGGCTGGGGTGGCGCAAGGGATGGAGCGCCAGCCTGCGAAGCCAAAGGCCGCCGGATCGATTCCCAGCCAGGGCACAGGCCTGTGTTCCAGGCCCGGTCCCCAGCAGGAGTGTCTTTCAAAAGAAAAAAAGTCCTTGTGAAGTGCACTGTTTTCCCATAAGAAATGAACAAATGCAGTGGCTACTATGCTGAAAGCAGGACAGGTTGGTCTTGGTTGTGGTTTGTTTTTTTTTTTAATAAAGGGGTGATGGGCCAAAGATTGTCTTCTTGGGCTTTTCTATGTGACTCAAACTGATGAAGCATGGTGCTCGTCCCATACAGTAAGGAATCTGTATTTTCTCCAAAATTTTCACTTGTTTATTCCTGATTTCTCTTTGTACTCATCCCACAGATATACATACTTACACATGCCCGTGTTGCTTAGAAAGCTTCTGGAAGGACTCACATGCAACTAGACAGTGGTCACATCCAAGAAAAGCACCAGGAGCCTGGGGCTTGAGGGAGATTATTTAATACCTTTTTTCAAATTTTATTTTTATTGTAGCTGACATGTTTGTTATACCTTCTTAAGTATAATACTGATGTCTTATTTTCATGATAAAACCAGTGCATTACGCTGTCTGGAAGGGTGTCTGCTCCTTTGCTCCAGCCGGGATAGAGGAGGCCATCCATAAGGGAAGTTAAGATCTTAGTGTTTTGATTCTTACCGTACATATTTAGGTTCACGGGGTTCTGAATGTTGGGCTGGTATTTTGCTTTGAATGAGATATACAAGGTCTGTCCAGAAGGTAACCAGCCATGTACTATGAAAAATAGACACATTTATAAAAGAAGATATAAGAAATGTTGTACATAGGACAATGATGCTTCAGCCCTCTTCAAAGTAGGCACCTTGGGACCTCACACAGTTTTCCCAGTCACCATCAGCTGTCCCTTCTTATCTTTCTGAACCTCATTGACAGTCTGAAATTGCTTCCCTTTCACAGGTGATTTTAGTTTTAGGAAAAGCCAGAAGTCACAACGCACCAAATCTGGGCTGTAGGGGGGCTGAGTCACCTGGGTGCTTTGATGTTTCTCCAAAAAACGGCACGAGATGTGATGCATGAACAGGCGTGTTGTCGCGATGAAGCTGCCAGCCACCAGTTGCCCGTAGCTGCGGCCTCTGAGTCATCCAAATAGTTTCCATGGAGGAATGTTCAAGCTTCCCCCAAAATTGGATGCAGATTCGTTGCTCTACTTGCTCAGTCATTTTGAGTGTGACGGCCACACAGCACACGTGCTCACTCAGCAGCATCTACCGCCCCCATGGACTAGTACAGTGAAGTTGTCGTTCACACGTGCGCATTCCAGTCCACTCTCCTTGGCTGCCAGGTGACATCCATGTTGGACAAACCGTCCTTGTTATATTAACAATGGCCGGATTTTTTCCATGCAGACCTTGTGTTTGTACACAGTTACGTAGTGTGTTGTTAACAGCTGTGAGTCATAGCAGGGTTGGAAGCGGAGGAAAGTATGAGCTCCTGTACCTACTTCCAACCCTGCTCTTGGATATGTTCACTTACAGGTTTTTTTTCTTTTTAGTAAAGTAAAAATTTATAATGGATATGAAAAACGAGATACTAAAGAATATTAATACTTTGAGAAAAATATATATGGTTTTGAGTTAACGCTACTAGGATATGAGAAACACCTTTCACTTTAACATGTGGTAATTCTGTAAGACTTTGGTCCTACAGCTTTAATGTAAACTGCACAATGTTTCATCCTTCACTCTTTTCACAAATGGAAAAGGCCTGGCGGGTTTGGGTCGGTGGATGGAGGACTAGCCTTTTTTGTTGGACCAGTGTCTGCTCTATGGTAACTGGACCCTGAAAATTAAGACTATGGGTGAAGAATACTCTTAAAGAGGTTTTGTAGAGATACATAAGACAGTTTTCTACTGCTACCTTTATTTATTTGGAAAATGAGAATTTGGTAAGGTGATGTCTTTCCAGAAAAGCCCCTTTTCTGGTTTTTCTGCTGCCAATAAATGCTAATTCTATGGCTGCAAATAAGTAGGACCCAAACCTGTCCTATACAATATTAGTATTATTCAGCTGTTTTGACAGTTGGTCTCTCGTTACTCTAACATGTTGTTGATTGAGATTTAATGCTGTTCCATACTATTGTGCACAAGTTTTTCTTTGGCGAGAGCTTTCTTATCCTTGTTCTGGGAAGTTCAGGAGAATTTAACTGTAGCCAAAATTTAATGTGTACCCTAAGAGCCAAATGAACAAAAGAAAAGAATACACTTCGGTTTCATGAAGGGCAAATGTTTGCTTTTATTCTCAGTGTTAATCATTGACTGACACCTTATGGAAATTTTGCGAAGACTGGTAACAACATAGTTGGTGTAGCTAAATCAGGAACCGCAGTGCAGCTATTTTAAACTGTGGTTGCAACTTTAGTACTTAGATGCTGGAGAGATTATGTGCTTTGTGAAAAGGTTAGAGTCCTCATGACTCTGAAGGGGATATGGATGCTCTTTGCTTGTTTCTTTTTAAGATTTTATTTTATTTCTTTATAGAGAAAGGAGAAGGGATGGGGGAGAGAGGAGAGAAACTCCGCGCGCGCGGAAGAGAAGGCTGCCTCTGGTACTGGGGACTGACCCGCGACCCAGGCGCGCGCCCGGACCGGGGATCGCACCCGGGGCCTCGCTCGGGGGTCGGCGCCCGGCCGCAGAGCCGCAGGTCAGGGCAGGCTGCTCTGCAGGCGCCTTGCTGATGCACAGGCGGCAGCTGCCGCGGGTCAAGGAGGGCCTGGCTGTGAACCCCGGGGTGCCCCTGTCCTGAGGTCCGAGTGCTTCGATGGGCCAGGGAGGAATGTCCCAAAGTTGCTGGATGTCCAGCAGTAAATACCTGACTTTTAGTTTAAACTGAAAAAAAGGGCGGGGGGTAAATTGAGGATATGTGCTTTCATTGGAGGCGCGCACTGGCCTCGGTGAGCCCTGTGTCTGTCCCGTTCGACCGTTAGCCTTGCGTTTCACCTTCGGGGGTATGGAGCTAGGGCTGAAATATCAATGATTTAGACGTGTGAATTGAAAATATGTGTGACGTTTTATTAACTTAGCGTGTTCCACTAAATTTATAGAGTAGAAGTATCAATCCTGTGAAGAACCTACTATGAAAAAGCAACTAGTAATTTAGTGTTCTTGTTAGGCCCCATGAACCTCCTATTTTCTTTGTAAGTTTTTATGATTTCTACATTGTTTGCAACATTTAATTTTGAATAATATCGCAGACATTGTGAATATATAAAAAAATTGAACTGTATACTTTAAATGAGTGAAATGTATGGTATTTGAATTATATTGCAGTAGCACTGTTAAAAATATTATAGACATTGGATTCCTTTTAAAAGTAAAGAGGTGGAAAGGGGACCAGCTACAGTATGAAGTCAGTCATGGGTACCTCCTTGCTAATAGAATTCCAGCTAAAATTGTTATGACGTTTAAAAATTATTGTTCCAACTTAAATTTGGAGACATGTACATTTTTAAAAA